GGGGGGTCATGCGATTTTTAAATGGTGCTTCCCAAATCCCACCAGCCCCCCCTCCCTCATAAAAAATGAACGGTCCCTTAAATCTCAAACATTTTATTTACATGACGTAGTAACAAACCTCCAGATGTCCTCCCCATGTGGTCGTGCTGGCGATTTCTTCACAATATTGAACGAACTGATCTGCAAGGGTTGAATTAAAACATGTAACACTATATTTTAAAGGGCGAGCATTGAAGGGCGAGCTCAAAATATAGCTCAAATCATTACTTTTTAATATCAGTTGTAAGAAAATAGCAGCGCATCTAGAGAAATAAGAAAGAGAGAGAATCTTATCTGATCACCTCAATGCAGTGAGCACGCTGATCGTGGAAAAGTGAAAAACATGCCTTCCTATTGATTTACGTTATATTTCCTTTTCTCCGAGAAGAGAGTTTACTAGAAGGCTACTTGTCAGCTCAGTTCCGAGATTGCCAGGAATATCGGATTTTTGTCATGAGCTGAGTTGAAGGTCGCAATTCCTCGCCCATCTTTCTTTCGCCAAAGTCACCACACTAGCTGGCAAAACAAAAACCTAGCTCTGAGATTGTAAAAAAGGGGAGGGGCCATTCTGGCGCAAACACTCAGCGCACACCTCAGCAACCGACAAGAAAAGTTTTCACCGAGCTAGCCAAAAATGAAGTAAATTGAGTTTTTACAGAACGGTAGTTCAAACTCAATATGTACATGCTTTTATCATGTTTCGTGGTTTTCCGTTCTCGTTTGTCGCATTGCGTATTGGCTCGTGCAGGACCCTCATTCCAGAGTGTCATCGTGTTACAATTGTTACGTGAAAACTCAGATTGTTGAGGACTTATTTTGATTCAGTCCGCGCTCTTCAGAAAGCAACTGTGTATGAACAAACCGAATCTAGCATCTTGCTTCGCAAAAAGAGCGCTAGAGTTTGAGAATTTCTGCCGGGGAACCTGCCTGAAAATCTCAATCCAGGCTGCTGCGGCTTTCTCTCTCAACCTAGTAATTTTATAATGATGATACGCAATAGACATAACAATTTCGGACACTTTTGGTTTGTGCCGACATCACGAATTATATTGTCCGTTGATAGCCGTTTTTTATTACTGTAAAATCTTTATACTTACGCCATTGCTGCTTGGGTATGTCCCCGGCAAAAATCAAATTTTAGGATACTTGTATTGTTGGTTGTTTATAATGTTTATGTTTGTACTGTTTATTTTACCGGTATATGTACAGTGTATACTAGATTCAAAAAAAGCAATTATATGAAAATTTATATCATTCTGGCATAACTTTTAATTTGCCTATATTTATTCTAAATTTTAATACTGCCCACAGTGCAAACATTGCGAAAAACTGGTATAAATTTAATATTTATAGGAGTTTCTCAGAATGTTTGCCCTCTACTCAATTTGAGCATAGTTACTAACTATGATGTGAGTGAGCGGTAATATAGAATATTAAATTCTGTGCATGCTCTGCGATTCACATTCCCTTTGGTTCGGCATTACTTAAACTTTCTAAAAACCTTTTCCAAAAATACTTCCCTGGCTTGTTGGTTTTCACTCGAAGATATACTGTACCTCTCACTTTACTTGAGGGAGATGAAAAAGTGAAGGAGTAAGCAAAGGTTGACTTGTGGCAAGTCTAGGCATTACTATGCTAAGTAATTCGCTGATAACTTTGTCATCCATTCAGAAGTAAAACCAAAACCAATCGTGACTTGCTCATACGGGCTTTCCCATGCTTCGCAACAGCCACATTTATACATTTTTTTCTTTGAGTTTTGATTGGCTCACCACATTATCCGAGCTCTTTGTGATTGGCCAAACCACCTTGTTCCAAAGGTCTCTCTTCTCTAGTGTTTACTTACTAATAGGTTTTGGTTTCACAACACCCAATGGAAACCTGCTCTATGATTATACTGGTTAATTATCAGGTCAAGCGCTTACTAAATTTCTCTCTTGGTTTCAAAGACCCATCAATCTTATGTGCTTTATGGCGATAATACGACATGGCATTATATTCTTGAAGTTTATTTGCTTGCTTACCTGGTGTGTACAACTGACCCGTTTTTGCATCTGTTAAGAATGGCAGAAAGTCATCTTGATGGTTCAGTATGTAATCTGCTGCAAGTTTTCTTAATGTTTGCATCTCAGTCTAAAACACAAGAATAATTTTATTACCTTGGGAAAATCCTTAGCTGTTTTAATGGATTATTCCAAGCTGGAAATAGAAATTCTACTTATTGCCCTGCATGTAATTTCAGTGTTAGTTCCAGGAATCAGGTAATTTGTCAAGACAACTCTTGTAGCCAGGCTGTTTGCTTGCAAATATACTAATATTGTGAGGAGAGAGTAGCTACTGATAACTGTTGAGATCTCTGGGTTAAAAAATTCAGTTGTCCTAAGTGAGTAAGAGGTACTCCCACTGAATTGCAATAAATAAGCTGATAAAATTTACAAGTTCCACAAGTTTGTGCCACCTGATTGAGTTAGGGTTTTCTTTAACCCTCAAGGTTTGACTTACATATCAAATTCCAGAACCAGTGTTCTGTAACATCATCAAACACCAAAGAGAAAGTTGAAAATATAACACACAGTGGAGCATTTTTGATCAAGTTTAATATGAAACATTGGCTAGAGTGTTTGATACATCTTCTCAGTCAAAACCAAAAACAAAAAAACAAAATAATCACAAAAAGCTAAGCTAATTAAGATGTGATATCCAAACCATCTTCATAGTTAATAATTTCATTAGCTCAAACATGATCAAGTATTAAAATGAGACGTTAAGAAAATCCTGAGAGGTTTACTTGAACTTAAGAAATAGGATGCTCTGAAAAAGGGGAACAGCTGGTTAAAAGGACACAGCTGGAAGGGGTCTCTGATTAACAATTATAAATTAAAATACCTGTTGATTTCTTCTGGACAGCTGATCAGCAACAGCATTATACAAGCTGACAAAATAATATGAAATATAAGCTGGAAAAACTCACAATAACGTCATTAGCTCTCATAGAAAAAGTACATTTACAGTGCAGAGGTTTAGGGTGCATTTTCTTAGGAAAATCCAAGATTGGATTCTTAAATCCAAAAACAGATTTTACGTTTCTTTACTTAACAGATCAATCCAAGATCACTCGGATCATGGTGCATCAAAGGAACCGAAGAATCCACCTTGGGCAAGGGTTTTTTTGGTTCTTTTGATGAAGTATGATCCAGGTGATATTGGATCAATCTGTTTAGGAAAGAAACGTAAAATCCATTTTTGGATTTACGAATCCAATCTTGGATTTTCCCAAAGAAATGCACCCTTAGTAACATTACAAGATTATGACTTCCTTCATAATCAATTTTTTAGACCACAAGTATATGTCCTCCTTTAAAATTTGCTTGGTCCCTCAAGCATGATCCAGAAAAGCCCAATAGCAAGATAAAAGACACTTTCTTCAAGTTTCTATCAAGCTATAGAAATAGTCATAAAAGTTTAGAAGAACTCAAAAAAGTTGTGAAAACTCTCGCCTATCAGCTTGTGCTACATACCAATTTCCATCTGGAGAGATCTGAAGAGAGAAGAAAATCATGACCAAATTGGTGATTATAAATTACAGGCACTGACAGAGCCAATTTCAAATTGATATCCATCAAATATGGTGTTCATCAAGAAAGTATCCATACTCCTCCCATGGAAGGGTTTTGAATTGAACCCTCTTTCGCCTCTCTTAACAATTTCCATTGGCCTCCCTTGAGGTAGCATAGGCAATTGGGTATACTCTGGAACTGCTGCACATTCTGACATACCTCTTTTATGGATAAACATTTAGACGCTAAGATTTCTTTGAGTTTCTCAGCTTCCACATTGCGTGCACTGTGCACATTTTCCAGTTCAGCTTCAGCAATTCTTTCTTCTCTTTCCCTTTCTTTAGCAGCCTTTTTGTCCTTAAAACAATAAAAACACAAATCAGAGACAACCATTAGCAGTATTTGTTTCAAATTTTAATAATTATTATCTTGAGAATTTGTCTTAAAATCAGTAAATTACTTTAAATTAATGAAAAACTTACCCTTCTTTTCTGAGCCTTTGAAAGTTTTGATTGTGATTCACTGTTATCTGCATTTAGAGACATTGCTTCTATCTCCTTGGTAACATCTTGTCCTTGACTATTTTCTCTCTACAAATCAAAAATTTACCAATGGCTGACTAACCTCAAACAAAAATAAGAAAAAAAATACAACACGACAGGCAGACAACTACATTTCCTTGATCACACCTTTCATGGTTTAACTGAAGGCAATTTAAATGAAGAATAATGTTTTATCCACACAATACTGGGGCTGGCCATCGCATGCATGCAGTCATACTGAATTGTCTCCTCTGACAGCACAGAAACAGTTCATTTTGTGGGTGATGCTGTTGCTTAATAATCAGAATGCTGAACTGATAAGTCTGCTAAAGCCTGAGATCAATGCACAGTGATCTTAGACAATCCTTCAGTGCCTCTGTTCACTGAAGAGTACAAATTACAGGTGACTTTCCCAACCAGTACCTAAATTATTATGTATGTGCCCTCGCTATTGTCAACTCTAAATTGTGGAAATCCAGCTCTTATTGCCGCATAAACATGTACTATACCATTAAATTTGCTACATGAAAGATGAGTTACTGAAAACACTCACTGTCAAGTCATTTTTCAATACTTCAAGTTCTTTCTTTTGCCTGTTAGTTAATTCTTCCTCCAGCTTTGCAATCTCTAAAGCAACTTCCTTTTTCTTCTTTTTGTCACCCTTTGGAACAGAATGTTTCAACGACTGGATTTTGGCTGCAAAAATAATACTTTAATAAAGAATTTATTCAAAATGATACTGGTACACTTTTACATACATGTTTACAATTCATGATGTCCAGTAACTAGTTTTAGCTTACACTAATTAATTTAGAAAGTTGTTTTGATAAAGATACAGTAACTCAAGGGGAACAAAACCGCAAGGAAATTTAAACAATATTTTGTTTCTGTTCGAAAATTATGTAAGTCTTCATTCAACATCGACAAAACAAAAGAATAGTTTTGACTGTTTCGACCGGCCCAGGTGCTACGAACCAAAATGTAACACGACGTAGCGATGTTGGGAATGATAGAAATGACAGAAATTAGATCAAAATGATACAGCACCAGCATTGAAAAGTGAGATATAAAGAATGCAAAATACCTTGAAGTTCTTTCGCCTCTTTTTTGTGCCTTTGAAAGGCGAGTTCTAACGACGATTCCCCTTCCTCGTCCGCCATGTTTGCTGAGATGGTATTACATGAAGGTTCGAAAAACCGCAGATCAACTTGAGCCTGCGCTCGATTCCTTCCCAGGTCTCCACCTCTGCGAACGTTTCACCAACGTCGATCATGGTAAGGTTACGGTCATTTACTTCTGAATTTGTAGTAGGGTCCACGTATGGACCGTCAAAAATTGCAAAGCCGGCTATATTTCAAGCCGTCTTGCGGGGTATTGGGAAAAGTTTTCAATCAGCAATAACCGCGCCTCGGATGAACCTCACTGGCTACGGTAATGCCACTGCGCAAAGCTGATGATGCGAGTCACTTTTTGAGTTCATAATGAACGCGGACAGAGGACAATTGTGGTACAGCGTAGAAGTCGCGCAGGTTTTTTCACTGAAACGCAATCTTGATATTCTTCACCGGAATAAAGCTATTATTTCGTCTTTCGGATTGGAATTTTTCTAAGATGTAGATCACGGAACAAATATTAAAGTCGATTTAGTCAAATTTGTGAAGCGCCTGCGCATTTTAGACCTACCCCAGATGAAGTCAGCCATATGCGTTTCTAATAGATTATTAACGCAATCAACTGCTTTTGTTTCGTCTTTTCGGTTTTTTTTTCTCTGAAGTTCCACTTTGTAACGATCTAAAGAAAATGTTTGGTTTTATTGGAAGTTCAATGATAGTCGACATTATCATTTTCTGCATGAAGGTGTAGAAGTAGCCTGCGGTGCAGCCAGATCGACGTAGTATAGAAGGTGCTTCTTTACTTTAGGTCGGCAAAACATTTTTAGTAGAGTACAGTTACATCCCAAGAAAATTAAGGTGGGTAAACGGAAAAGCTGAAAAGGTATTCGGCTACATTTTGGCTTAGGTTATCTAGGCATTTCTTTCTGATTCTCATATAAATTTCGGATGTCCCCAAATACTCGTCACTCTGAAGTGATTCCAAGATCCTTGTACATCATTTGGCCTTTCAGCTTGGGACAATGTGGGCATCACAAGGGGTCGGGATCATGGATTTGGGGGCCATTTCGGGGTTGGGGATCATTTCAGGAGCCCCTGTTATTGGAGATATGGGATGCTTACAGAGTACGGGATAACTATCTGTAAACAAAATATTACTTTCGATCATAAGTGCCCCGGATATCAGCTTCCCCCCTCTCTAGTTTAAAATGAAATAAATTCGAATTCTTATGATGCTTTACAGATTTTCTTAAAGTCCTTTCCAATAGTATTTCCGTTGTTAGATTCGCTTTCGAGCCAAATAGCGCGGATTAATTCAACTCCTCGCAAGCAACATGTATTTCGATCAACACTACTGTAACTCATTTTGAAATGTCTTTTTTTTATTCCGCTTATAAGCCCCTCCCTCTCCCTCCCCCTCCACACGGATATAGGCCCCTCTATTTATGACCCCGTCTAAAACCCCTCACGGAGGTTGTATAAGCCCAGGGAGTTTACGGTATTTGTGGGAAATATTAATGGGATAAGAGATATTTAGAACAGATTTTCCGGTATATCAAGTAGGTAAATTGTAAGTTTTTGAAACTGAAATTTGAAATTTAGGGGATTCGGGATAATACAATTAGGCCATAAATCAGGATATGGGATAATCCCCCACACCCCTACCCCCATAAAAGGGCTTCTTTCAGAGCCGGGATCATTTCGGATTTGTGAATTCTACTCCGGCAAAAGAATATGCCTTGCGCCAAAAATATTTCTTACGTTGCATACAGCTAGGCTGGAAACAATAAGGTGCCTGGTGCTTCTAGGCCGTTTGATATTGATTTTTGAGTTATTTTTTTGTAAAAAAAAATACCTCTTAGTCGGCGCGTCGGNTATGTTTCAAAAAACTTGGGCTGCAGCCTATTTTTAGCAACTTTGTCAACAAAAACCGCTGACTAAATGATTGCGCCAAATATGGACTATTACACAATTTGATGACGTCACATAAGAAAATAACAAAGGTCACGTGGTCAAACATTCTAAGAACTTACGCAGCAGAAATCGAATTGGACAAGTTGCGGTGGAAGAGTTTAGTGTGATTTATTAGAAGAATTTTGGGCCCAAAATGAAGTGGAGCTTCAAGGAAGAACATTCCTTAGGTATTTGGAATCAATTATACCTCCATTGCTTTAGCTTTTGCCATCAGTTTAACCGCTATTTCTTATGGTGTTGCAGAGTCGAGATGTCATGAATCCGCGAAGATAAGGGCGAAGTATCCCGATAGAATTCCCGTAAGTGTGGCGCCTTGAAGTGATATTTTCGTCTTTAGAAAGCGAAATTCATTCCTTCTTTCTTTGCAGGTTGTTGTCGAGAAAGCTCCCAAGTCGTCCATTCAGGATATAGACAAAAGGAAATTTCTTGTTCCCTCAGATCTGACAGGTAATCGATAAAACAGGAAATAAACAGGCTAATTCCTTCATTCGCTCTCTCATCTTAAATGGCGTGTCTCCTCTACTTCTATAGCTTAGTTCCTTTCAGTATTAAGGGATTACTTATTTGTCATTTTTAAATTAAGACTTGAGACTTGTACTCGTCTTAGTCACGCCGATACTTAATTTATTTTTCCACAGTGGCTCAGTTTATGTACATCATCCGGAAGAGAATTCAGCTCCCTCCAGAAAAAGCAATGTTTCTTTTCGTTAACAAGGTGCTACCAACGACAAGGTTTGTGTAAAAGTCATCTATTAGGATTTGAAGGGCGATTATGTTATGTATATCTTGTATTTTTCATTGAAACAAAGATCTAAAGCCATGGGGTTTTTTCTGTAACATAAGCTTACTTTTGCAGCCAACCTTCGACTTTGTTTACATCTTCGTGTCGAGCGCAAGTACAGTGAATCGACAATATAAGCGGTTCAGGCCTTCATATTGACCGTTGTTGATTCTTTCTGCTAAGAACTGTGTTTATAGTCGTGGACTGAGCAAAATTTGGGAATTGAGCTTTGCATGGATTACGCTTCTAAACTCTACTTTAGAAAGAAAAAGTTATACTTTCCGAATGTAATTGCTTTCACTTTGTAATGTCCTGTCTGTCCGTTGTCATTCAGAGTTGTTCAATTTTGAGGACTAAACTGACGCAGAAAATCGACACAAAGTCCCTTTTTCACAGCTGAGAACTAGCAAGTCTTACAGTTCTTTGTTTGTCAACCCGGTTTACCCCTTTTGTTTAAGTCATGAGAGGGAATAGTAAGCATTCCTTAACCTCGTGATTATTTGGAATCTAACCTGGAATTTATTTTTTCTCTCGATCGATTAAATTCTAGTCTGCCTTCGTTCAGTTGTTAAACAACATTCAGGGAGTAGTGGGTTGTTCAAAGTGAAAATTTACATTTGCTGGTGGCAAAATTTTAATTCATTTTCGAGTATAATTGGCGATACGGACAATTTGGTTTGCCATAAAATGTAAGCTTTAAGTTAATAATGTTGTTGTTCCATTACAAAAGATTAATACTTAGTGCGAAATATTTCTGGTGTAAATTAGATATTTCATGCTATTCACCAAGTAGAGTAAGTCTAAAATTTAGCCATTTTTCGAATTAAATATAGGGAACAAAGTTCACTTTCATAAGATATTTTACTGAAAACTTCATTTTGTTTTTAATCTGACGGTGTACTGCAGATGCCCTTAAATGCATTTCACAGCTAAAATTTTAAATAAGATTAGCTACACCTTCAGCGACAACATTTGTCATTTCTACCAACTTAACAATTATGCTCAAAAACTACAATAAAATGGCAAAAGTTTATTTTGCTTGCAATTGTGTGATCCTGTAGATAAAGTAGGCAGCCAAATTGTATAAATATGAAAACATAAGCAAGTAATAATTACAATATTTGTCATAGGGACATAGTTTTAATTCAGATTTAATACAGAGTTGTTAAATGTATCAAATAACGTTTCCCCAGTATAATCACTGGAGATTGTACATGTAGTTTCACAGTACCCTCTCAGGTCAAGGGCTCAAGGAATAACATCGAAAGAACAAATTGAATATATCCGAACTCTAGGGTTTCAGTCACAATGACCAAACGAGTGACGCTCTAGAAAAAATCAAAAACCAGAACTAGAAAATGCCTGGTGGTTTGATGGTAAACATGCATTTAAGGTCATTCCCCAGTATTGCATTGCGCATCCTTACTGTGCATAATTTATGGTGTCATTAGTGCGCATTTGTGCACGCGCACATTGAAAACATGGCGGATGTGCCTTGATATTGAGTTCTGTCAGTTGAAAAATGGCTGTAGCTCACTAACAAGCTTGGGCACCCCAAATTTTTTTCCAGTCATTTTAATCAACTAATCATTAGCTTTGCACGAGAAAAGACTTACCTGATTTCTATTGTTGAAAATTGAATAAATAAGGAAAATAGCAGCTGCACTGTAGTCTTTTCTGTTTTGCAGTTTGATAGCCGTGGCAAGCAATTTGGTTGCAATATTTTAACAAGGATTCAGCTGTCTGTCAAAATAAAACTTAAAAAGTTTATTTGTGTCCAACACAAGTATTGACTGTAGTTTGAGGCGTGTTTTCATGAATCTGGGCTCACAAAGAGTTTACAATGATTTTGGTAAAGCAATACCCCCTGTGGAGGGGTATTTTAGGGTTTGTTATCGTCAGTGTGCAGAGAGCTTCATTTCAGAAGGTGAGGCTTGCACCTGGCTGGGATTGTGTTGTGCAATACCATATAATAATTTTATAATAGTTACCTCATTTGATACCTCATTTTCTCAATCAATTGCTAACCTTGACGTTTATTTTATTTGGCTTGGAGGACCAGGCCCTTGTTGTTCAAACGATAGACAACACCATCCACCATATAAATCACTATCCAGTAGATAAGTGTTAACAAAACAAACCAGCTATACACTGGATAGTGATTTATCCATTGGACAACATTATCCAGCCTTTCAACAACCGGGACCAGATATTTGATTCCTACGGTTTATTTGAGCCCCGTGTTTACTTAGGCAAGGGTTGTTATTCATTATAGCTTATTAAACCACAAATAAGTGCTTTAGGGACTTATTTACAACTCCGACCTGGTCTTTAACAGAGAAAATTGGTATAATTGCATGTGAACTTAAATGGACCCAAGGTTTCTGGTGGCCTGTGCATTGATTCCTTTTGACCTTAAGTAGGTAACTGGCATTACTAACTACACCACTTTTTCTTTTTTTTTTTCAGTTCAACAATGGGTTCCATCTATGAAGAACATAAAGATGAAGATGGATTTTTGTACATTGCCTACAGCGGAGAAAACACCTTTGGAATGTGATCGGCATAGTTCAGACCTCTAGTTTGAACTAACTTTTACTCTTGAACTGTCAGTTTTCCTATAAATTTTTTTGGGGGTGTTATTAGCTTTAGTAGTCTGGTGAAATACAAGTTGGTTTGAAGAAACAAATGCAGCAACTAAAGAACCAATTACAACTAGTTTTTTTCTGGGTTTTTCTGTTTGATGTACACAGCAAAATGTGCAAGTTCCAAGTATTTTAAAGTACACAACCAAGTTGAGCAAAGTAAAGCATTGTTGTGAAGATAAATTGGACTTTTCTAATAAGAACTTTGGATTGTAAAATAGCATAATCATTGGAAACTGCATTGTAAATACTTGCATATGTAGAAATGGCACACTTGAACAGAGCAAGTGCATCCTTGCTAGTTACACCATCTTGTGTTTTCCTTTTAACAAACTTTGATTGGATATAGTCATCTGCAGTGTGGTTATTCAATTATTGTTAAAATATACTTACAGATGCAGTTCATGGATGGCATTTCAAGTTTTACAGACAAGTTTACACAATGTAAAATCCCCTGTAACTTTGGACAACAAGTAAAAAACTGAAATCTTTAATAATATCTTGAATGTTAAGCTTGAAAGAAGTGATTTTTCTCTGATTGTGACATGTTCAAAATGAAATTTTGTCGTGTATAATCCAAAAAAGTTCTGTTTTACAATCAAGACATTTCCAATCCTGTGAAAGTTGAGAGTTCCTCGGGCTTAAGGGACCAAGTAGGAAATGTTCTGATGAACTTTTCTCTGGCATCATTGTAGGTTGGAGTTCCTCTCTTGGCTTCTCTGTAATTCCTTGCTAATTGGTTTTGTCTGGAAATACAAGATCATGTATACTCAAGTCAGAGCAATTTTCATGTAACCTCCAATGAATAAATTTGTATTCACTAATCTAAAGTGTCGTGGTGTGGTTGTAGTTTGACTTTCTCTCTTTTTGCTTACTTGTACTAAATTAAATACAGATTTGGTGACAACGTGGGCACCAACAAGACATGTCAGCCCCCTTACACATGTAGTGATAGCAAATTGGTAAAACCAGGACTTTGGGAGAAAGTAAGACTCTCCAATAATTATTCATAAAATAATAATTTTTTTCAGCAAACCCAATTATTTCTTAACCTTGCAAAAAGAACTTGTGACCCTAGGAAGAATTCTCAAAACACCTTTTGGTTCTGTTATATAGAGCTGTGAAGGTTGACTAAAATTCTAGGACCATTTTGTCACATGCCTTTTCTCTCTCAAAATTATGAATTGTCTAAGGGCTTTTTCTCTAGGTGAGATACAAATATATTTTACAGCTAATTACAAGGTGCAGTTTGAAACCTGAAAGTCAACAAAGACTTGAGAACAAAGTTGTAATATTGAGTTTGTTTGTGTTAGGTTTTATCCCAGATTTCCTAAGCCAGAATTCAGTAAGAAGACCCTGTCAGTAAATAGTGTCTACTACCTCAAGGATACTGGAAGCTTAACATCTTGAATGTTTGTAACAAGAGCTTTGAATGTCTCGAAAAGACTTCCTTTGCTGATGCACACCCTGAAAAAAAAGGCATGAATTTGTTTGGAAAGTAAAGTCAAGCACCAAGTCTGTACCACTTCATGACAGTAACACTTGTCTAGTTACATGTAAAAGGTTGATATCCCTGGTAATATTGTTTTGATCTTTTAATCTTTCAATGTTGCAAGGAGAGACTTTGAAATGAATGATGGTGGATATTACAGATTGAGTTAAATTGTCACAGCCTGTGAGTTACCTTGCCTTTGATGATGAAAGGTTCTTTTTGGTGACACCCTGTCTTAGGCCATTAACAGAGACCTCGTGGAAGAAGGGTTCTTTGATCCAGATAATAGCTGAAAATATTCAAGGAAAAATAGTTATGCATTGAACCTGCTCAACTCTAACTGCTTAGTGATTGCCATCTATTGACTGACTGATCGATGGCTGACTGATGGATTGACCAACCTACTGCCCTGAAGTGACTGAGTTACAAACTGATGATATCCACCGACTGACAGACTGAATAGCCAGCCTGCAAGCAAGCTCTGGGGATGGTGGGTAAGGATTGGGGAAGGAAATGGGAGAAGGAGCCCCTTTCCTTCCCCACCCCCTTTTACCCCAAGAGCTGAGAACTTACTTGCAGGTTACTGACTAATGATGTTGACAAATTAAGTTTTACAGATATACTGGTGGGAGTAAAAACAAAAAAATGTAATTTACCTGTGGAGGAAGGTGATAATTTACCCTGCCTCTGTTCCATAACTTTAATTCTGCTCTGTTCAAATAAAATGTCAGCCTGGAAAATCTTAGGCCTATGAACACAGAAAGGTTCAGTCAAATTCAGAGGGTCACTTAAAGCCCGCTCATAGATACCCCTCCTCATAGCAGCTTCGTCAAAAGGGCAGCTACCAACAATGACTGACGAAAGGTACACTGGTGATGTCATGAAGTATGACAGAAGGGCCCCTTGACAACCAAGTACATTCCATTTCATTATTTTATCACTACATGACATTGATAGTGTAGGGTCACCACGCCCTGGTTTAGTGCGCAAAACACCAACAGTGTGGTATCCTGAACCAGACTGATGAGGGTCTTGTTTACTGCCTGGAACACATTTTGCACCAGTCCTGTGTACATCCTTGTACTGCTTAATATCAGTTTGTTGCTTGTTGTTACATTTACCATCAAGTACACATTCAGAGGTCTCAATAATGTCAACATGGATATTTTCTAGGTTTGATTTTATTGCTTTCTCTTCCTGATCCTTACTGCTATGGTCCACATTCAAATTATCAAAATGTGCCTGTCTTGTATCGAACAGCTCCATAGAAATTTCTGCCAAGCTTCCATCAGGTTTGTGGTTACCCTCCTGAAAGCATAATTTTGCCTCATTGTCCTTTTCCACCATAGGTGTTTTATCCAATCTTTCCATCAATCTCTCAGAATTACAACAATCATCCAATGAATTACTGGAAGGTATGTCAATCTCTAAACAAATTTTCTTTGGAGGGCTTATCACTTCATGACAAGAAAGGCATTTTTTCTTTTGAGGTTTGAGATTTTGATTCTTCAAGGATGGAACAACCAAAGTGTCATCTTCCTCTGCTTTTGGAAATATTGATGCATCACCACCTGGAAAAAAGATAAGAATTGTACTTGTGAGAACTTTTAAAAATCATTCACTCTCTATAAATAATGTTTTAAAAATTGGTATTGAATCAAGTTAATTATTGACTAAATGCTGGGCTGAATAAATTAGGATATTCTCTATCTCACTGTATGGTCAGTAATTATGAAGAACAGCTCCCTGCAAGAAACTTGGTTGCCTGTCAGCCAACAATTGACTGACAGTGAACCAACAGTTTTTTTTTTTTTTTTTCCAGGGAGCTGTTCTTCACTTTACTACATGGTCTAACAATCTACAATGTGCTATGTGAAGCACTCAGAAGTTCTATGTTCATTCAAATCCTTGGTTATCTTACTTGGACATGCATGTAGATTTTTGTGGTTCAAAAGTAAATCTACTGTACTTCAGTCTATTTCCAAAGCCAATGATCTAATTTGAAAAAATTATCAGCCTATCTGGGCTAACCCTTAAGCATCCAGTCAGTCATATTTAAATGCAAGTTCAAACCTGTGTGGTGATCGGAGAGCCTAAAAAAGTTAAAATCTCAATGAAACAAAGTACTCACAAGGTGTATGCGAAGTGAAAAGATGGAAGGACACTCCATTTTTCAGTGCACATAAATTGCTTTCTTCCTGGAAATGAAATACACCTGGCTGCTTATTATATGCATTCTGCAACAGCTGGTAAAGATACCTAGAGAAGAGAAAAATTAATAATTCAAGAGTTACCATTTTATATTGATCATCTTTCTTGTGCTTGATATAGCATTTTTGTCTTAGTGCTGGGTTCAAGCTCTGGCTAGGGTCATTGCATTGTTTTTCTTGGGCATCTAGATGTGTCATTGGGTACAGGCACCCACAAAAGAACAAAAAATTACCACACTGGGGACAAACCCTGCAACTGAATAACATCCCCATCCAGGGGGGAGTAGAAATAGTCCCAGTAGCTTCATACTGTAGAAACCTGGATAAGCTCCTGACCAGCAGTATGGACCAATTAGCCTGATGAAGGCTTTCACCTTCTGAGCACTAAGCACTCGGAACTTAATTGAAATTAAAAACATCAGTAGGTCAAACCTGAGAAAACCTCTCCTGGCAATCACTTCTGCATGGCTGTCATTTAAAATGATTCCTGCAAACATATTAGAATGTTTACTGCAGGTTTTGAGATTAAAATTAAATAAAAATTCTCCTTTCTAAAGACAGTAAGGAGGTAACCTGTAATAAGGTGTTCTTTTTTCCATGTTAAGGACTTGGGTCTAGTCACATAAAAAATAGTACCAAGGAATTTAGCCTGCGAAGCAGGCATAAAACAAGGAAAACAGAGAGAGTGGGAACCTCCCTATTGCATCCACATTTATGCCTGTAATGCAGGTTACAAGGAGTTGTGTTAGAATTATTCTGGAAGTTTTGAAATGAATTTGGTAATGTGTGTTTGGGGGAGAAGGGTCATAAATTTTTACCAAGAGTTTTGAGATGACTCATGTTCTAGTTAGATAGAAATATTATTAAATAAATATTTACATTAAACTATTAGTTTTTAAAATCATTAGGTAGCCCCAGTAGTTGTTCATGGGGGAGGAAGATTGCATGATGAGCCCAAAGAATGTCTGTATAGGAGGCTATATCTTTGGTGACATTATAATAATGGGAGTTTATGGTAAGAGTTTTGGTAAGAGCTGGCTTTTACAAAACGTTGGGGGTGAAAAAAATTGGGAAATTTGAAAGGGGAAGCATTTTAATCTGAGTATTTTTTTCTGAGGCAGGAGGATATGGTGTCCAGTCAAAGATTTATTCATACCAACTGTCACTTTTGTTCCCTTGGGTACCCCGTCTGGGACAACTTGTTACCTTGATTGCTCATTTTGCTTTTTCCAATGCATTTGGAACCAGTTCCCATGGCAACCACATCCACAGAGTACTCTGATAAGGGCTTGTCATTATCATCTAAATGAATACAAACAAAGACTAACTTAGATCAAATGTGGCGTGAAACGTGAAGCGGCGACAGCACAAGCTAAGTCAGTTTAATTTAAAAGTTATCGCTGTATTTATAGCATTCTCGTGAAAGTGAAAAGTTATAAGAAAGATGGCTTTCTCTAACTGACTATCTCCTTCGTCACAATGACAACTTCAAAACGCTATCAAATGTTTTAAATGCTGGCAATTGACCTCGTTCCTGTACGAGCACAATGGCTGCCAGTAGTGTCCACTCATGGTTCGCTTGAGGTTTGCCCCTCTTGTTCAACGTCTTGAAATGCTCGCAACACAACTGAGCCACCTTGTTGGCAAAATTATCATCTTCTTGCCAACAATCCATGAAGCAAAAAGTGCTAGAGGTTAATGAAGAAGTCTAAAAGGAGGATTGAAAGACGACCACATTTCATCCGCCATCTTGGACGAGGCTAAACTTCAATACACTGGGCCTAGTGAGCAAATTAACACTATGAGGAGAGAGGTAAAGTAACAGTTGATTTTGTCTAGGTAAAACTTCATGTCCTTGAGTAGCAATGTGCGACGCGAGAGACTTGAATATTGTCAACAACTTCTTTTAATATCATCGGAGTGTTTTTCTAAATTTAGATTGTTCTAATCCCCTTTTTATCGTTCCCAAAGTAACCGCACTGGAGCTCCCCTCCCATGCCAAGAAATGTTTTCCTCCGTTGCCGTTTCCAAGAACGATCGCGGGCTCAATCTTCAACGAGGAAGATGTACTTTTCTAACGCGCGAATTTTTGTTTACTAAAAAGTTTGTGTCGCTGGTCATGAGTAATTTTCATCATGGTGATGTATGTAGTGCATTCCCACCCTGTCCAGCAAAAGTACAAGACTCACGTTTGTAGCAGAGCGACTCTTTTCCAGTTCTTTGTCATTTTTCTGACTTTCATACCTCCTCTTATCATCGCCTATGTGACACACGGTAAGCAGTTTTTAATCGCCTCAGTTTTCCAAGCTTGTAGCTTTTCCGTTGATTTAAGCGTACTGTTTACTGACTTAATTAACTTTTACCATTTGTCATGAAACATCACAGGTTTTTGGCTCAAGGAAAGCACTTTCAGAGAACAACCCGACGTTCGATTCAAACACGAAATCCTTCTGGTAGTTCAAGGAAATACCCCTGGCTCATTTCTAGCCTACAGCACTTTCCAAAATTTTAACCAGCTTCTGCAACAAAAGCTTAGAATTCCACTCATCAAGGTGAGCAGCAATAAGCTTAACACCTTTTAACTGCTGACAGCCAACATTAAAAAAAATAGGCGCATAGTTACTAAATAATGCATTTTTGCAGAGTCATCTTAAACTCATTGACAGTGATATACAAGCTTATGGGTTATCGACCAAGTGTAAGGTCAAGATGGCTGGATATTGGTCAAGTTCTTTTTTTTTTTTTTGCGTGTTTATGGAGCGAGATGGAGTCAAGGTCTGTAAACTCGCAAAAAACAACAAGGCCAATATCCAGCCATCTTGACCAAACAAACTTGGTCAATTAAGGATTTATTATATGGCTTTCAAGAAAATTTTTCTTGCAGGACACGGTGGGTAGTCCTGAGTGGCCAAGAGAGCTCTATCTTGCCCACTTGGGTAGCCAATCACAGTGCAGGATCTGGTTCATCTTACCTGCTCATGGAGCTAGCCATGTAATAACTACATGTAAAGTTAATATCACCTTAGCTTAACAGTGCTTCATTTTTTATCAAAGTCTTGGGAGACAGATAATAACCTGGATGGAAAATATGATAGCCTTCACTTCAATATTAAGATACCCTTGGCAGACTCTGAAGCAATACATTCCATACAGTTGATGCTGATATTTGATTACCAATTTCATGTAAGTGGCACTGTGCAAACAATTCTTATGTGTAATTGGTTCAAGTTTATTATCTGTTATCTCATCTTTTGAGAGTAGACAGCTCAGTGATAACTCCTACCCCTGAGGGGGGGTACTTTGGGTATTTCTGGGTGGGGATGTGCCGCTGGGANGGGGGGGGGGGGTACTTTGGGAATTTCTGGGTGGGGATGTGCCACTGGGATCCTAGAACCCTGAGCCTATACCAGAGCTAGTTCAGCTGAATTTTACTACCCTATACTAGAGTAAACTCCCCAAATCCCTCCATCTATCAACACTGTTGAGTCTGATTTGCGTAAATTTAAACTTGCCAATTTGATTTTTTTATATTTTTGAGTTGCATTTCCTGGTTTCCTTAGTCTAGATGAAATCTTCAACCAACTAGTCAGTTTTGTGAAAAATGATACCCTATTCTAGACCCAGATGCCCTGATTTATATACCCTATCCTAGAGTACACTGTTTGAAAACCATACCCTTCACAGCGGCATATACTAATATAGCCCATATATGGCAGTACCCTTCCCCCCGGCTCTTACCCTAAATAGTATACTTTACCAAATATCTGTAAAATATAAGTCCAACATAAGTCCCAGGGGATACTCTGATGCTTCTTTGCATTTTTAAAGTGTCTGTGAAAAGGATTTACATAAAGTTTTGAATGACCTGTAAGATTTATATTAAAACAATTAGATTATTCAGTCTCCATTTCTATACATGATAGTTGTCTCAGGCTGCACCCTTGTCAACTATCATGCGATAGAGATCTCAAGCTCATAATCTAATTGCTAAATGGAAACAGTGGTGAAAGTTTGGGAGAACTCAAAAAAGCTGTGGAAACACTCTCCTAACAGCTCATGTTCTCACAGCATTTCTCATTCTCCCAAACTTTCACTCATGTTTCCTTAACTCCATAAAAACAGAGAAAACGATTTGCATTTCTTAATTTAAAGTGTTTCTGTCTTTATACTGCTGAAATTGTGTATTGTTATTCATCAAGTGCTTGTATCTTTGCCAGAAGTAGTAAAACTGTCTGCTTAAAACTCTGCTGAAAACATTTTTAACTATGCTTGTCTTTATTTCTCTTCAGAAATATGTTGCACTTCAGATGGAAAGCATGGCTTATATCCATTACTCATCTCCTCTAGCAGGAGCAGAGTTTTCTACAGTCGGAAAACTTGTCCTTCAACAATCAGGACCCTTACCACACAAAGGAATTCATGACATTTATGATGTAATTATAAATGAGAACTTTGCAAACTATTGTTACTGGTAGTATCATATATTCGTGATCCAGTTATGTGATTTGTTACAGTCATATAACCTTCTCCTAAGTACAGATTTATCCCGGGTTAAGGACTAATTTCAGTTTTACTTATTTCTATTTGTTATCACTACTGAAGTTAGAAATTTAAGGGAAAAGGCATGTGGCTTATTTCCTTTCACTAAAATGATTATCCAGCCAGGGGTGTTTTACTTGTGATTTAATTTGTTATTTTAGGTGCCGGTTATTGATGGTACAAGCTCAAATGTTGAGGCATACGACTTGTACGATGTTTTTACCAGTTATGTCCAACGTAATGGTTTGTATTGCAATGCCACTAGTTAGTTAACAATAATGATGTGAAAAAAGTAAATGCACCCTTGCTAAAAAGAACAGCAGTACTCAGCCTGGTGCTTAATTCCAGTGTCTATGTGCACACTACCCCACATTTTGTCAGGTTAGCCTACCTCCCAAAACACAGAAAAAAGACCCCAGCCAGAGTTGAATGCAGTCATCTATCGCATTGGTTTAGTACCATCTTACCTATCTATAAAAGTGTCAATTAACTCTTAAGTCCATAGTAAGACTCAATAATGACCTTATGCACCTTTCTGTTGCACCAAGATAGCGCAGTGTTCCTTTTTCTATCATGCTCTTAAGACCTATAACTCTCTGAGCCTTAACACCAGAAATTCTACATCACTCAGCAAGTTCGAGAGGAAGGTAAAAAGGGAGTTGTAAAGTTTATGTACAGTATTAAGTGTATTTTATCATATTGTTCATCCTGGTTGTTAGCCTAAGTATCATACTTGTTATATTCATTAATAAACATTTTAATATGTAATTTTTAAGCACTTTATGGAATTGCAGACTATTCTTGATATTATGTATAAATTGATTCTGCAGAGCATAGTTGGGAGGAAATAATAAAATATGTGGATTCCAAATTAACTATCCATCACCACCATTTCACAAAACAGAAAAATGTGAGCAAGATTACATGCACTGCAAATTACTACACTGTTATTATCGTATATTATTAATTTTTTTTTTACCTTTTTGGTTGTAGTCACCACAGAGTATATCTCATTTCACCCTGTGTGGACAAGTGGACGAGCAGCAGGACAGCCGTTTGTTATACAAGGAACTATCTTTTATCCAGAAGAGACAATCATGTATCTTTTTTCAAGATATAAGTTTACTGAGATAGTAAGAGCAAAAAGTTTGTGATTCCTGTGAATCATTGCTATTTAATAATCTGAGTTTTCCACTCCCAGAAACTCCCTTGCGGTGCAGAGGCTACACTCTCTCTCCCCCAACCCTACAAAAAAAGCGTTCCCTGCACCATTCTCCAGCAACTCTGTAGAAATATATAAATAGTGGAATCCCGATTTCTTGAACCCTCATTTTTTTCGAACCTCCTGATAACTCATACCAAAAGTCTTTTCCACTCCTCAAGCGAACACTGTAATTTTACCCCCGATTCTCAAACTATACAATTTTGCAAACCAATTTTCGTTTCCCTTGGAGGTTCAAAAAATTGGAATTCCACTCTCTTTTTGGGGGGTGGAGGGGGAGCGGGGGATATATCGACTCAGAACTTTCTATCTCTAAGAACTTATTGCTATAGGCACATGGTTTTTGTGATAATAAATGTGGCTAATGTCACTATTGTTTGATGATGCTGAACTCATAGTTGACTTTTGTATTTTTAACTGGTGTGGTATTGTTTGCCGTTCCTTGTTCTTGTTGTTGAACCACTAGTAAGATGAAAGACAGTAGTTATTAAAGCTGAGGTGAGAGATGACTGACATTGTCTCTCTCGTCATTTTATCAGTAACTGACTCTCTGAAATAAGCTCATCAATGAAACAGAACCTTAACCTGATATAAGGTACCGACCAGGATTCTGGCAACTGATCAAGATGGCATGGATCCAATACCTGGCAATTCTCTTCATTTTCCTCTTTCTGTTTGACAGAGTCAAAAGATTTGTGTTTGAAAATCAAGTGGTGACAACTGTTCCTATGATGATAGAAAAAGAGCATCAGGAATAATGAGCTAATAATGAACAGATGCCAATGTACAAAGTTAGTTTGGGAAGGCATCTTGTGATCAGATGGAATTTTAATTTATGATGTTGATGAAACAAAAAAGCGGAGAAATCTATTGTAGCAAAGCCAAAAAACTGGAGCAAATCTTGCCATCAGCCTGAAAAAGATGACAGCAAATTTAAACAAAGCCTTGCCATGTGTCACCATTCTTTACGTAAATGACTGACACAGACGAGTACCATGTAAGTTGTTTGTCACCCGCTAATGTGGGCTGGCTCACCTTTGCAAGATTCAGTATGTCCTCGAGGGGCCAGGGAAGAGTGTTATTTGCTTCTGTATTGTTCAACATTTTCATAGTGACAGTGAAAATTTACAACCAGCCACAACCAATCAGATGCCTCATGGATTGCTAATAGTGTTCTGATGTCATTATGGAATTTTTGGATCAGATGTTTGACAGGATCCTTGTGGAGAATGGCAATTATCACATGACAATGGATGTCTGTTTTCTATGGCCATGGAGTATTCCAAATGTTGTCACTGTGCCATGTTGCTAGGCAACCTCTGATAAATGTTATTTTCTGATTGTGCATGTTCAGATGCTGTGTGCAGCATATACCGGTAGTTTTTGTTTTGAAGGACGCAAAAGTTTAAAGTCAATTTCTTTCTATTTATTGCTACGCTTTTTTATAGGTGCTAAAATATCTCATCTAATTGCCTAAGCAACGTCAGGCAGTGAAGGGTGCAATTTTGACTAAGAGGGGATTCTTAACAAGACCCAGGGGTTTCATTAGTGCTTTCAGAGGAAAAGCATCAGGTTTTCACAGGCTGGCAAAACTTTTTGAACTGAAATTCTTTGTAGAAAAACTTTCCTCTAGATGGTAAAACCAGGCAGGCCAAATCGCCCTCACAGACAGTCCATTTGCCCAGGGTCCAGCCCTTATTGAACCCCCGGCAACATCTCATTTGCAATATTTGAGCATCCAGTGACTGGGGTGTTCCAGTTTTATTTCATGATATTTGAATGTTAAGATCTTTTTAACTTAGAGTTGGCATACGTGCATCTTATGTTTTTAATTAATGTATGATTTTATACAGCATACACAGGGCAATTGATCAACTCACCACACCCCTGCATGTTGTTTGGAAAGAAAATCAAATTTTTGTTGACAATTTTAAACCGTGATCCCTTGAATAGGGACACACAAAATTGACAGGGAAACCAGTGGATCAAATTGTATTGTGGGATGCCTGTCTTAACCTCCTCTACAGGGAATATAAACTAACGTAATGAAGAAAAAAATCGGGAGAATTCTCTTAGTTTTCGGGACAACCTCCATTGCTATATTGCTACATTGTTACTGCTCAAATAGCGTCTATTGAAGTTGTCACTCCTTGTCTTGTCGCACCTTCAAGTATTAGATCATTGTATGTCTTACGAAATATCATTTACACACGCGTACATAGAGAACTAAATGATACATTGCTTCTTAAAATACGTAAATACGTACAGAATCTTTCGAGTATTGCAGTGCAAATCTGGTTTAACCGCAGTCAACTGTGAACATGCCCTGAGCTTTGAAAACAATTTTTCGGGTTTTGTTTAGTTTTGTTTTTTGCTAACTTCCGCGCTTTCCCCCAAAAAAGAATGCCTTCAGAGAGTTGTGTGGGTCTAATCTTGACATTCGACTGGCATTAATTGAAAATTCTCATTCATTGCGATAAATGTTGAGGTCGAGGCCATAGGCGAAATTTCGGAACGTCGGGTCCCTCTGTAAACGTTAAGAAAACTGTTGAATTTTTGTTTTGAAATGCTCGCCTGTTCTTGCACTTGACTGGGTTTATTTATTCATGTGTGCATGGGATAACACTGTGTAAGCCTTTGAGGCTTTTAAGCTTCCGGTTTTTTATTAACTTATTCGGTCGTTCCAGTGGTAACTGTTTCCTCAATAATGTTTAATTTGTAAGAAAAAAACTAAATTATTCAGTTACTTTCTTCTTAGACGTACATACTGCTTGTAAATAAAGAGAATATACTTTTTAAATGTTGTGTTTGAAATGGANCTACCCTATACTAGAGTAAACTCCCCAAATCCCTCCATCTATCAACACTGTTGAGGCTGATTTGCGTAAATTTAAACTTGCCAATTTGATTTTTTTATATTTTTGAGTTGCATTTCCTGGTTTCCTTAGTCTAGATGAAATCTTCAACCAACTAGTCAGTTTTGTGAAAAATGATACCCTATTCTAGACCCAGATGCCCTGATTTATATACCCTATCCTAGAGTACACTGTTTGAAAACCATACCCTTCACAGCGGCATATACTAATATAGCCCATATATGGCAGTACCCTTCCCCCCGGCTCTTACCCTAAATAGTATACTTTACCAAATATCTGTAAAATATAAGTCCAACATAAGTCCCAGGGGATACTCTGATGCTTCTTTGCATTTTTAAAGTGTCTGTGAAAAGGATTTACATAAAGTTTTGAATGACCTGTAAGATTTATATTAAAACAATTAGATTATTCAGTCTCCATTTCTATACATGATAGTTGTCTCAGGCTGCACCCTTGTCAACTATCATGCGATAGAGATCTCAAGCTCATAATCTAATTGCTAAATGGAAACAGTGGTGAAAGTTTGGGAGAACTCAAAAAAGCTGTGGAAACACTCTCCTAACAGCTCATGTTCTCACAGCATTTCTCATTCTCCCAAACTTTCACTCATGTTTCCTTAACTCCATAAAAACAGAGAAAACGATTTGCATTTCTTAATTTAAAGTGTTTCTGTCTTTATACTGCTGAAATTGTGTATTGTTATTCATCAAGTGCTTGTATCTTTGCCAGAAGTAGTAAAACTGTCTGCTTAAAACTCTGCTGAAAACATTTTTAACTATGCTTGTCTTTATTTCTCTTCAGAAATATGTTGCACTTCAGATGGAAAGCATGGCTTATATCCATTACTCATCTCCTCTAGCAGGAGCAGAGTTTTCTACAGTCGGAAAACTTGTCCTTCAACAATCAGGACCCTTACCACACAAAGGAATTCATGACATTTATGATGTAATTATAAATGAGAACTTTGCAAACTATTGTTACTGGTAGTATCATATATTCGTGATCCAGTTATGTGATTTGTTACAGTCATATAACCTTCTCCTAAGTACAGATTTATCCCGGGTTAAGGACTAATTTCAGTTTTACTTATTTCTATTTGTTATCACTACTGAAGTTAGAAATTTAAGGGAAAAGGCATGTGGCTTATTTCCTTTCACTAAAATGATTATCCAGCCAGGGGTGTTTTACTTGTGATTTAATTTGTTATTTTAGGTGCCGGTTATTGATGGTACAAGCTCAAATGTTGAGGCATACGACTTGTACGATGTTTTTACCAGTTATGTCCAACGTAATGGTTTGTATTGCAATGCCACTAGTTAGTTAACAATAATGATGTGAAAAAAGTAAATGCACCCTTGCTAAAAAGAACAGCAGTACTCAGCCTGGTGCTTAATTCCAGTGTCTATGTGCACACTACCCCACATTTTGTCAGGTTAGCCTACCTCCCAAAACACAGAAAAAAGACCCCAGCCAGAGTTGAATGCAGTCATCTATCGCATTGGTTTAGTACCATCTTACCTATCTATAAAAGTGTCAATTAACTCTTAAGTCCATAGTAAGACTCAATAATGACCTTATGCACCTTTCTGTTGCACCAAGATAGCGCAGTGTTCCTTTTTCTATCATGCTCTTAAGACCTATAACTCTCTGAGCCTTAACACCAGAAATTCTACATCACTCAGCAAGTTCGAGAGGAAGGTAAAAAGGGAGTTGTAAAGTTTATGTACAGTATTAAGTGTATTTTATCATATTGTTCATCCTGGTTGTTAGCCTAAGTATCATACTTGTTATATTCATTAATAAACATTTTAATATGTAATTTTTAAGCACTTTATGGAATTGCAGACTATTCTTGATATTATGTATAAATTGATTCTGCAGAGCATAGTTGGGAGGAAATAATAAAATATGTGGATTCCAAATTAACTATCCATCACCACCATTTCACAAAACAGAAAAATGTGAGCAAGATTACATGCACTGCAAATTACTACACTGTTATTATCGTATATTATTAATTTTTTTTTTACCTTTTTGGTTGTAGTCACCACAGAGTATATCTCATTTCACCCTGTGTGGACAAGTGGACGAGCAGCAGGACAGCCGTTTGTTATACAAGGAACTATCTTTTATCCAGAAGAGACAATCATGTATCTTTTTTCAAGATATAAGTTTACTGAGATAGTAAGAGCAAAAAGTTTGTGATTCCTGTGAATCATTGCTATTTAATAATCTGAGTTTTCCACTCCCAGAAACTCCCTTGCGGTGCAGAGGCTACACTCTCTCTCCCCCAACCCTACAAAAAAAGCGTTCCCTGCACCATTCTCCAGCAACTCTGTAGAAATATATAAATAGTGGAATCCCGATTTCTTGAACCCTCATTTTTTTCGAACCTCCTGATAACTCATACCAAAAGTCTTTTCCACTCCTCAAGCGAACACTGTAATTTTACCCCCGATTCTCAAACTATACAATTTTGCAAACCAATTTTCGTTTCCCTTGGAGGTTCAAAAAATTGGAATTCCACTCTCTTTTTGGGGGGTGGAGGGGGAGCGGGGGATATATCGACTCAGAACTTTCTATCTCTAAGAACTTATTGCTATAGGCACATGGTTTTTGTGATAATAAATGTGGCTAATGTCACTATTGTTTGATGATGCTGAACTCATAGTTGACTTTTGTATTTTTAACTGGTGTGGTATTGTTTGCCGTTCCTTGTTCTTGTTGTTGAACCACTAGTAAGATGAAAGACAGTAGTTATTAAAGCTGAGGTGAGAGATGACTGACATTGTCTCTCTCGTCATTTTATCAGTAACTGACTCTCTGAAATAAGCTCATCAATGAAACAGAACCTTAACCTGATATAAGGTACCGACCAGGATTCTGGCAACTGATCAAGATGGCATGGATCCAATACCTGGCAATTCTCTTCATTTTCCTCTTTCTGTTTGACAGAGTCAAAAGATTTGTGTTTGAAAATCAAGTGGTGACAACTGTTCCTATGATGATAGAAAAAGAGCATCAGGAATAATGAGCTAATAATGAACAGATGCCAATGTACAAAGTTAGTTTGGGAAGGCATCTTGTGATCAGATGGAATTTTAATTTATGATGTTGATGAAACAAAAAAGCGGAGAAATCTATTGTAGCAAAGCCAAAAAACTGGAGCAAATCTTGCCATCAGCCTGAAAAAGATGACAGCAAATTTAAACAAAGCCTTGCCATGTGTCACCATTCTTTACGTAAATGACTGACACAGACGAGTACCATGTAAGTTGTTTGTCACCCGCTAATGTGGGCTGGCTCACCTTTGCAAGATTCAGTATGTCCTCGAGGGGCCAGGGAAGAGTGTTATTTGCTTCTGTATTGTTCAACATTTTCATAGTGACAGTGAAAATTTACAACCAGCCACAACCAATCAGATGCCTCATGGATTGCTAATAGTGTTCTGATGTCATTATGGAATTTTTGGATCAGATGTTTGACAGGATCCTTGTGGAGAATGGCAATTATCACATGACAATGGATGTCTGTTTTCTATGGCCATGGAGTATTCCAAATGTTGTCACTGTGCCATGTTGCTAGGCAACCTCTGATAAATGTTATTTTCTGATTGTGCATGTTCAGATGCTGTGTGCAGCATATACCGGTAGTTTTTGTTTTGAAGGACGCAAAAGTTTAAAGTCAATTTCTTTCTATTTATTGCTACGCTTTTTTATAGGTGCTAAAATATCTCATCTAATTGCCTAAGCAACGTCAGGCAGTGAAGGGTGCAATTTTGACTAAGAGGGGATTCTTAACAAGACCCAGGGGTTTCATTAGTGCTTTCAGAGGAAAAGCATCAGGTTTTCACAGGCTGGCAAAACTTTTTGAACTGAAATTCTTTGTAGAAAAACTTTCCTCTAGATGGTAAAACCAGGCAGGCCAAATCGCCCTCACAGACAGTCCATTTGCCCAGGGTCCAGCCCTTATTGAACCCCCGGCAACATCTCATTTGCAATATTTGAGCATCCAGTGACTGGGGTGTTCCAGTTTTATTTCATGATATTTGAATGTTAAGATCTTTTTAACTTAGAGTTGGCATACGTGCATCTTATGTTTTTAATTAATGTATGATTTTATACAGCATACACAGGGCAATTGATCAACTCACCACACCCCTGCATGTTGTTTGGAAAGAAAATCAAATTTTTGTTGACAATTTTAAACCGTGATCCCTTGAATAGGGACACACAAAATTGACAGGGAAACCAGTGGATCAAATTGTATTGTGGGATGCCTGTCTTAACCTCCTCTACAGGGAATATAAACTAACGTAATGAAGAAAAAAATCGGGAGAATTCTCTTAGTTTTCGGGACAACCTCCATTGCTATATTGCTACATTGTTACTGCTCAAATAGCGTCTATTGAAGTTGTCACTCCTTGTCTTGTCGCACCTTCAAGTATTAGATCATTGTATGTCTTACGAAATATCATTTACACACGCGTACATAGAGAACTAAATGATACATTGCTTCTTAAAATACGTAAATACGTACAGAATCTTTCGAGTATTGCAGTGCAAATCTGGTTTAACCGCAGTCAACTGTGAACATGCCCTGAGCTTTGAAAACAATTTTTCGGGTTTTGTTTAGTTTTGTTTTTTGCTAACTTCCGCGCTTTCCCCCAAAAAAGAATGCCTTCAGAGAGTTGTGTGGGTCTAATCTTGACATTCGACTGGCATTAATTGAAAATTCTCATTCATTGCGATAAATGTTGAGGTCGAGGCCATAGGCGAAATTTCGGAACGTCGGGTCCCTCTGTAAACGTTAAGAAAACTGTTGAATTTTTGTTTTGAAATGCTCGCCTGTTCTTGCACTTGACTGGGTTTATTTATTCATGTGTGCATGGGATAACACTGTGTAAGCCTTTGAGGCTTTTAAGCTTCCGGTTTTTTATTAACTTATTCGGTCGTTCCAGTGGTAACTGTTTCCTCAATAATGTTTAATTTGTAAGAAAAAAACTAAATTATTCAGTTACTTTCTTCTTAGACGTACATACTGCTTGTAAATAAAGAGAATATACTTTTTAAATGTTGTGTTTGAAATGGAAAACAACGCAGTTAACCCCTTTGAGGTAACTACGTCGTCCACGTGACTTTCAACGCCAGAAATTCTATAGCAGGTTTTCTTGACGAACTCGCAGACTGAGGCCCCGTCTACACTACGCCGGAGGAATTTTATAACGGAGGTCTATTTCTCCGGTTAGGCCCACCGTTCACACTAATCCGTCACGAAAACGGAGCTTTTCGAAAACACTCTTTAAACCGGATAAATTTGAAAACGGCGGCTTTTCGTTTTCGTGTGGACGAAGAACATTTTGGAAACAGAGTTTTTAGAAAACACTGGCGTCACGATAATCATGTGAGTACCTTGACCGAATTTTCCTCAAACGCAAATCCAAAATGATCGACTATTATTGCGTTTTCAAATTCCTCCAGCGTAGTGTGGACGGAGCTTGAAAGCCTGCACAAATTTATTTTGCTTGTGATTTACGGGAAAACCTGAAAACATTTTACCTGAAACTCATTGTTCCGTGAAACTCTGGTACGCCTGCAAAAGAGTCTGCTCGAGACAGTTTTTAGGCAAGGAGATTGGTCAAGGAATTCCATTCAAATTGTTGTACGCACGAACAAAGAAAACCCGTTAAATGTAATGCCAAACAATTTGGTCTTGCTCATTATGTTTCTCACAGTCGTGAAATTTCCCTGAGAGGGTGTTCAAATGAAAGCTTCATGACAATCCGTCAGGAAGCCTGAAGAAGCGTTATTTACAACCCCCTTTATTATGAAGCTCCGTTGTTTGTGTGTGGTTGCCATTACGCTTATAGAAGACATCACACCTTTATTTCCAGGACGTTCCAACAACTTGGACTGACGCCAGCGACGTAGCGGAATCGAATACGTATAAATAGGACGTGAAAATATAGGGGTTTTTAGCAAAGAATTCAGAAAAAAATAGAAAGATAATCTAAAACATTTCAAAAACAACGTAAGAGCGGGAGAAATAATTCTAACAATCGTGAGTGGTTAACACTGTCAGAGTAGTCATGTGACCTTGAGTTCCAACAGGTGTTTAAGTAACAGGTGGCCTTGTGAACAGGGAATATTGGGCGTTGTTTGTTTGAGGAGAAATGAATGAAGCCTCTTAAATCCAAACTAAAACAACTAATGTTTGTTTTCGTATATCTTCTTACTCCGTTACCGTTCTTGCGGAGTTTGTCGCAAAAGTTTTTCACTTCTCGACGGTTCAGTTAGGGTAGCCTAATCTCTAATTTCAACAGAAAAATAAAATCTAAGTTACTTCGCCAATAGCTAGTCTGTTATCATGACAACAGCATATCGCGTTTAATATGAGGAAACGTTGTACTGTTTTATTAACGGTCATGCAAACAAAACCGAATTGATGCCTCGGAGGGTGTGGTTGTGAAAGATTTCGCGTGAACAGCCATNATGCACCCTTGCTAAAAAGAACAGCAGTACTCAGCCTGGTGCTTAATTCCAGTGTCTATGTGCACACTACCCCACATTTTGTCAGGTTAGCCTACCTCCCAAAACACAGAAAAAAGACCCCAGCCAGAGTTGAATGCAGTCATCTATCGCATTGGTTTAGTACCATCTTACCTATCTATAAAAGTGTCAATTAACTCTTAAGTCCATAGTAAGACTCAATAATGACCTTATGCACCTTTCTGTTGCACCAAGATAGCGCAGTGTTCCTTTTTCTATCATGCTCTTAAGACCTATAACTCTCTGAGCCTTAACACCAGAAATTCTACATCACTCAGCAAGTTCGAGAGGAAGGTAAAAAGGGAGTTGTAAAGTTTATGTACAGTATTAAGTGTATTTTATCATATTGTTCATCCTGGTTGTTAGCCTAAGTATCATACTTGTTATATTCATTAATAAACATTTTAATATGTAATTTTTAAGCACTTTATGGAATTGCAGACTATTCTTGATATTATGTATAAATTGATTCTGCAGAGCATAGTTGGGAGGAAATAATAAAATATGTGGATTCCAAATTAACTATCCATCACCACCATTTCACAAAACAGAAAAATGTGAGCAAGATTACATGCACTGCAAATTACTACACTGTTATTATCGTATATTATTAATTTTTTTTTTACCTTTTTGGTTGTAGTCACCACAGAGTATATCTCATTTCACCCTGTGTGGACAAGTGGACGAGCAGCAGGACAGCCGTTTGTTATACAAGGAACTATCTTTTATCCAGAAGAGACAATCATGTATCTTTTTTCAAGATATAAGTTTACTGAGATAGTAAGAGCAAAAAGTTTGTGATTCCTGTGAATCATTGCTATTTAATAATCTGAGTTTTCCACTCCCAGAAACTCCCTTGCGGTGCAGAGGCTACACTCTCTCTCCCCCAACCCTACAAAAAAAGCGTTCCCTGCACCATTCTCCAGCAACTCTGTAGAAATATATAAATAGTGGAATCCCGATTTCTTGAACCCTCATTTTTTTCGAACCTCCTGATAACTCATACCAAAAGTCTTTTCCACTCCTCAAGCGAACACTGTAATTTTACCCCCGATTCTCAAACTATACAATTTTGCAAACCAATTTTCGTTTCCCTTGGAGGTTCAAAAAATTGGAATTCCACTCTCTTTTTGGGGGGTGGAGGGGGAGCGGGGGATATATCGACTCAGAACTTTCTATCTCTAAGAACTTATTGCTATAGGCACATGGTTTTTGTGATAATAAATGTGGCTAATGTCACTATTGTTTGATGATGCTGAACTCATAGTTGACTTTTGTATTTTTAACTGGTGTGGTATTGTTTGCCGTTCCTTGTTCTTGTTGTTGAACCACTAGTAAGATGAAAGACAGTAGTTATTAAAGCTGAGGTGAGAGATGACTGACATTGTCTCTCTCGTCATTTTATCAGTAACTGACTCTCTGAAATAAGCTCATCAATGAAACAGAACCTTAACCTGATATAAGGTACCGACCAGGATTCTGGCAACTGATCAAGATGGCATGGATCCAATACCTGGCAATTCTCTTCATTTTCCTCTTTCTGTTTGACAGAGTCAAAAGATTTGTGTTTGAAAATCAAGTGGTGACAACTGTTCCTATGATGATAGAAAAAGAGCATCAGGAATAATGAGCTAATAATGAACAGATGCCAATGTACAAAGTTAGTTTGGGAAGGCATCTTGTGATCAGATGGAATTTTAATTTATGATGTTGATGAAACAAAAAAGCGGAGAAATCTATTGTAGCAAAGCCAAAAAACTGGAGCAAATCTTGCCATCAGCCTGAAAAAGATGACAGCAAATTTAAACAAAGCCTTGCCATGTGTCACCATTCTTTACGTAAATGACTGACACAGACGAGTACCATGTAAGTTGTTTGTCACCCGCTAATGTGGGCTGGCTCACCTTTGCAAGATTCAGTATGTCCTCGAGGGGCCAGGGAAGAGTGTTATTTGCTTCTGTATTGTTCAACATTTTCATAGTGACAGTGAAAATTTACAACCAGCCACAACCAATCAGATGCCTCATGGATTGCTAATAGTGTTCTGATGTCATTATGGAATTTTTGGATCAGATGTTTGACAGGATCCTTGTGGAGAATGGCAATTATCACATGACAATGGATGTCTGTTTTCTATGGCCATGGAGTATTCCAAATGTTGTCACTGTGCCATGTTGCTAGGCAACCTCTGATAAATGTTATTTTCTGATTGTGCATGTTCAGATGCTGTGTGCAGCATATACCGGTAGTTTTTGTTTTGAAGGACGCAAAAGTTTAAAGTCAATTTCTTTCTATTTATTGCTACGCTTTTTTATAGGTGCTAAAATATCTCATCTAATTGCCTAAGCAACGTCAGGCAGTGAAGGGTGCAATTTTGACTAAGAGGGGATTCTTAACAAGACCCAGGGGTTTCATTAGTGCTTTCAGAGGAAAAGCATCAGGTTTTCACAGGCTGGCAAAACTTTTTGAACTGAAATTCTTTGTAGAAAAACTTTCCTCTAGATGGTAAAACCAGGCAGGCCAAATCGCCCTCACAGACAGTCCATTTGCCCAGGGTCCAGCCCTTATTGAACCCCCGGCAACATCTCATTTGCAATATTTGAGCATCCAGTGACTGGGGTGTTCCAGTTTTATTTCATGATATTTGAATGTTAAGATCTTTTTAACTTAGAGTTGGCATACGTGCATCTTATGTTTTTAATTAATGTATGATTTTATACAGCATACACAGGGCAATTGATCAACTCACCACACCCCTGCATGTTGTTTGGAAAGAAAATCAAATTTTTGTTGACAATTTTAAACCGTGATCCCTTGAATAGGGACACACAAAATTGACAGGGAAACCAGTGGATCAAATTGTATTGTGGGATGCCTGTCTTAACCTCCTCTACAGGGAATATAAACTAACGTAATGAAGAAAAAAATCGGGAGAATTCTCTTAGTTTTCGGGACAACCTCCATTGCTATATTGCTACATTGTTACTGCTCAAATAGCGTCTATTGAAGTTGTCACTCCTTGTCTTGTCGCACCTTCAAGTATTAGATCATTGTATGTCTTACGAAATATCATTTACACACGCGTACATAGAGAACTAAATGATACATTGCTTCTTAAAATACGTAAATACGTACAGAATCTTTCGAGTATTGCAGTGCAAATCTGGTTTAACCGCAGTCAACTGTGAACATGCCCTGAGCTTTGAAAACAATTTTTCGGGTTTTGTTTAGTTTTGTTTTTTGCTAACTTCCGCGCTTTCCCCCAAAAAAGAATGCCTTCAGAGAGTTGTGTGGGTCTAATCTTGACATTCGACTGGCATTAATTGAAAATTCTCATTCATTGCGATAAATGTTGAGGTCGAGGCCATAGGCGAAATTTCGGAACGTCGGGTCCCTCTGTAAACGTTAAGAAAACTGTTGAATTTTTGTTTTGAAATGCTCGCCTGTTCTTGCACTTGACTGGGTTTATTTATTCATGTGTGCATGGGATAACACTGTGTAAGCCTTTGAGGCTTTTAAGCTTCCGGTTTTTTATTAACTTATTCGGTCGTTCCAGTGGTAACTGTTTCCTCAATAATGTTTAATTTGTAAGAAAAAAACTAAATTATTCAGTTACTTTCTTCTTAGACGTACATACTGCTTGTAAATAAAGAGAATATACTTTTTAAATGTTGTGTTTGAAATGGAAAACAACGCAGTTAACCCCTTTGAGGTAACTACGTCGTCCACGTGACTTTCAACGCCAGAAATTCTATAGCAGGTTTTCTTGACGAACTCGCAGACTGAGGCCCCGTCTACACTACGCCGGAGGAATTTTATAACGGAGGTCTATTTCTCCGGTTAGGCCCACCGTTCACACTAATCCGTCACGAAAACGGAGCTTTTCGAAAACACTCTTTAAACCGGATAAATTTGAAAACGGCGGCTTTTCGTTTTCGTGTGGACGAAGAACATTTTGGAAACAGAGTTTTTAGAAAACACTGGCGTCACGATAATCATGTGAGTACCTTGACCGAATTTTCCTCAAACGCAAATCCAAAATGATCGACTATTATTGCGTTTTCAAATTCCTCCAGCGTAGTGTGGACGGAGCTTGAAAGCCTGCACAAATTTATTTTGCTTGTGATTTACGGGAAAACCTGAAAACATTTTACCTGAAACTCATTGTTCCGTGAAACTCTGGTACGCCTGCAAAAGAGTCTGCTCGAGACAGTTTTTAGGCAAGGAGATTGGTCAAGGAATTCCATTCAAATTGTTGTACGCACGAACAAAGAAAACCCGTTAAATGTAATGCCAAACAATTTGGTCTTGCTCATTATGTTTCTCACAGTCGTGAAATTTCCCTGAGAGGGTGTTCAAATGAAAGCTTCATGACAATCCGTCAGGAAGCCTGAAGAAGCGTTATTTACAACCCCCTTTATTATGAAGCTCCGTTGTTTGTGTGTGGTTGCCATTACGCTTATAGAAGACATCACACCTTTATTTCCAGGACGTTCCAACAACTTGGACTGACGCCAGCGACGTAGCGGAATCGAATACGTATAAATAGGACGTGAAAATATAGGGGTTTTTAGCAAAGAATTCAGAAAAAAATAGAAAGATAATCTAAAACATTTCAAAAACAACGTAAGAGCGGGAGAAATAATTCTAACAATCGTGAGTGGTTAACACTGTCAGAGTAGTCATGTGACCTTGAGTTCCAACAGGTGTTTAAGTAACAGGTGGCCTTGTGAACAGGGAATATTGGGCGTTGTTTGTTTGAGGAGAAATGAATGAAGCCTCTTAAATCCAAACTAAAACAACTAATGTTTGTTTTCGTATATCTTCTTACTCCGTTACCGTTCTTGCGGAGTTTGTCGCAAAAGTTTTTCACTTCTCGACGGTTCAGTTAGGGTAGCCTAATCTCTAATTTCAACAGAAAAATAAAATCTAAGTTACTTCGCCAATAGCTAGTCTGTTATCATGACAACAGCATATCGCGTTTAATATGAGGAAACGTTGTACTGTTTTATTAACGGTCATGCAAACAAAACCGAATTGATGCCTCGGAGGGTGTGGTTGTGAAAGATTTCGCGTGAACAGCCATTTATGAGATCACGGTTTCTCTGTTTCTGGCACCAACTGGGTGCGGCTTGGATTGTTTATTATTTTCATCCGTACTACCACAAACAAACCGCTTGAGTTTGTTTCATATTCAATTATTTTATTTTCACTTGCACTAAGGAGTTAAGACATACGACCGCGTCTCTCAACGCTCTTTGGAGAACGATTTCGGTCGCGATAATTGAAAGTCAACTAAATGGGCGTTTTGTAAAACTTTGCCAAGAAAGCCCTGATTAAGGAGGTCGTTAACAGGCTCTTGCATCAAAATACTTGGAACGATATCAAGTCTGAAGAATCACAGCTGGAAATCAGGTTTTCTGCGAGTATAGGCATTTGCTTTTTCTCGGTGGTATACGGCGTCCTCGGCCAGATGGACATTTAATTGAACACTTGGTGAATTCAGTTCCGCATCTTCACAGATCGAGCAAAGACGAAATAAATGCCTGGTTACGAAGTAAAATTCACAGGGCCACTCGACAAAGCCTTCGAGTGTCCGATTTGCCTCATAGCTCTACGAGACCCGGTTCAGATAACACCATGTGGACATCGCATGTGCAGCACTTGCTTGCAGCCGATTTTAAGGTAATTTCAACTGTAACTGTCATCTTATTCCTGTCTGTTTCAATATTGACACATGAACTCTCCAGACTCATTGTTAAACATTATTCTCTTGTCTACTAGTTCAGAGAATATGATTGTCGCACATCAAGGAAATATCCTGTATCAATGATTTTCGTCAATCTCATTACCTCCTTGTTTGATAAACGTTGAACTGACATGTATTAAACTTAATTGCAAGTTGAACCAAATTCCAAAATAGCCGAGTTTTCCACCTTTCTATGAATGTTTTTTCCAAAAAAAGAAGATTGCTGCTTAGCCCAAACAGTAGCTATCGGAACGATTATCAGAGTTCAACCTGGTAGTGCAGGCAGCTGTTTAAGAAATCTTTTATATTTATCCCCAGAAACAAGAGGCCTCGTTGCCCACTGGATAACCTCAACTTTGATCCAGCGAAGGTGAGACCTTCACTGATTCAATGTATCCATGTTTAAATCTCTTCGAAATATTAATTCCCGTTACTGATTTGTGGTCCAAACCTTTTTCCTCCTCCATTTTCTTCACAGTCTCTTCACTGATAACTGAGCGTATACCTTGAAATCCTACGTTAAAGCTTATAACTTCATAAGGGGTTTTGGGTGGGCTTATAAACGGGGGCGGCGTATATCCGGAGGGAACATATGAGCGGAATAAAAAAAAAAAATGTTTCGTAACGACGAGATCCCTCCCTGAAAACTAATTAAAGTTAACATACCATTAAATTTAGAGCTATTACCTTATTACCCTATAAATTTATTACCCTATTACCGTATTGCCCAATTGGCCTACAACTTTCGATTAAAAATTTTGATCTTTGTAAAGAAACGTAAAAGGAACGCACTTATACATTAGATGGGCTTATATCCCTGGGGGGGCTTACTTTCGGGGGGGCTTAACGTGGGATTTTACGATAGATGAGAGCGTATGCAGCAAAAACAATGGAATGCGTTCGATTCCATCAGCATCGTGTTCTGCTTATAGATTGAAATTCTCGATTGAAAGGCTCACCTTTACAAACTGTGTTACTGGGATCTGAATGAGCGGCTGGTCTTTCTCATTTTAGGTTTTCTCAGATAACGGCTGCCACAGGCAAATTCTTAGCTTACAAGTGCTGTGTTCAAACCTTGAGAAGGGTTGCGAGTGGACTGGACCACTTAGCGAGATAGAGGTGAGCCTCATCTGTGTGCTTATTTATCCACGCGTTGCAAATTATTTTGTAACTTAAGCTCGTGAACTAGTTAGAATGTTGTTAAATGGCGAATATTTCTAGTGGTCGATGCACTTAGCTACAACTAGCTAGTTCTCAGGCATGCTACTTAAACTGAAAGAAAGAAATATTGCAAATAAACATAATAGGCTTAAAAAGCCCTACTGGCGGAAGGCAGACCAGTTGGTCATGGTTGTCTACAAGCACGACTATCGGGTCTACCGGGAAACAACTCCAGATTAGTGGTCAGACGGGACTTGAACCCGCGACCACCGGTTTTCAATTCTAGTGCCCTGACCACTTGGCCACGTCGGTCCCGCTAGCCAACAAGCCTAAATGGAACTAGACCAAGAATGTAACTCAGACCCGCGCTTTAACAGGGACCGGCGAAGGCCTTTTACCTCCATGTTTTATTTGTTAATTAATTCATACAAGTAATTCCTAATAACTGAAAATAACTGTCATGAATTTGTTTCGTTTCGCTTCGTTTAGCGACACCAAGATATCTGTAGTTACGTTGAGGTATCATGTCCGAAACGCTGCGGAGCATCATTAGAAAGGAGACGAGTAACAGATCATTCACTTGAATGTGTCAACAGGCTGACACCCTGCACTCACTGCGGTCATCAAGTTGTCTTCAATCACATGAGTGTAAGTACTGTATTTTTCTCGAGCGTGGCCGTAAGATCACGGTCAATATTATACGAATACCAATTAGAGCACGTCAAAATCCAAAACAGCAAAATCAGATTCACGATTTGATCAGTATTGGCCGTTTACCTGCCCTTGCTGCCGCTGGTTACATCATTTTATATGACTTCCTGAGTTTGCCCTCGGGTCCACGTTTTCCTGCGCTGTTGATGCCAGTTGCATGCTTAACATACTTTTCCGAACTTTTTCCTGGTTACGTGTTTTGAGGTTTCACAGTGCTCTCCCCACCAGTTACGTTATTCCTTAGCTAGCTGCGCCCGGGGTACAGGATTCCCTGAGATGGTCGCTAGTTGCAGGCGTCGGTTTTTACGCGGTTGACTCCAGCTGTTTGAACTTGCTTGCCGTTGCTCCTGCACGCTTTGTGCGCATAGCTAGTGACTGGCCCTATAAGTTCTTTGGTGTTGTTTGAAGAGAATCGCTAACAAACTACAGTCGAACTTCCACTAACGGCCACCTCTCTACAACGATCACTTAATCAACTACCAACGAATGGTGTATACAAAACCCCATTTTTAATTGTAAAAGGTCACCATACTTAATCCGTACCGCGCGTCATTAGACTCTATTTTTGTTAAGTTTCTGTTTTATTGACACAGTTTGATTTATACATGCTGAAATATACATTTTTGAAAAAAAAAATGTTGCACCCCCGAGAAAAGCAGGGGTCATAGTACACCTCTACCTCGTCATAACGGCCACTTTCCTTTAGATCTCTCCTCCAGGTGGCCGTTGTGGAGGGGTGCGACTGTACCTCGCTTTGCCCGTTATCCCTTCAGCTGAGTACAATATTAATATCTCTGGTCCTATTTGTTATGTATTTTGCAGTTACACCTTCAAACTTGTGCTTCGTTTCCAGTATCCTGCCCTGCTAACTGCGGTGTAATCAATCTCACAAAGGAAAAGGTTTGTTAACGTCAGTTGGTGCATGGATTCTGAGTCAGGCCCAAATTTTTCCCTTGTCGGATGTGGCACATGTTGTTGTAACACTGAATTTTGCTGTCTAATGCTCCCTTAGAGCAATTTTGAAAAGAGTGCTGAAAAACCAAAACCAAAGTAACCATTCTGACCAATAACAAATTAGGCAGACAATCCATTGAGCCCATCAAAGCACAAAGCAAATTCATGTAGCCGACACAAAGCGCAGGAAAACGTGTGCGAACGAGTTACGACTAGTTTTGGTTTTACTTCAATTTTCATTGGATGGTAACAAAGTGGTGGGAGTTTTTTTTGAGACAATCGCCCAAACGTGGTAACGCAAAACCAAATCAAACAAAACCAATACAAATTCCTTTCGACTCTCAAGGAAAACCATTAAAATCGAATTTTTCCTTGTAATGTATTCTCCTTACAAGTACAGTACGAAATATATGATGAGCAGTAAAGAGAACATTTATATAGACAACTTAACTGGACCGAGTTTCTCTTAGGTTGGCGGAAATTAATGCAGCTTCTTTTGCTGTCGCTGTTGTAGTTTGTTGATGTATTGCTATTCTCAATGCTGTAAAAAGATCTTTCTGTATTGTATGTTATTATTGTTGTTCTCTTCTCGTGTATCTGCCACAATTGTTTTGTAGGTCTGTTCGTGTACTGTGTTGTTTCGTACGTTTCCGTGTGGTAGGACGTCCCAAGACAGACTATACAAACATGACAGCAAGAACAGAGAACCTTACAGACTTCAACAGATATGACATTATTAATGAAGTGTTATTTTGAACCGTATCTTATAAAAGCAATGTGAACTGATGAAAATAATGTGCAGAAAAAAAGAAGTCAGGAAGACGCTACTTGAAACGGGTTTGGTTTATAGTCAAAGAACAAAACAGTTTTAGCTGTTCCGTTTCTGCCAGTGTTAGACACACTATAAGGGAAAAATGAAAATATTCAGTTACGCAGATTTAAAGACTTATGCGGTACTGATGAAAAATGTTTCAGTCTGGTCGTGCGGTTTTTAGTTCAATTTAAAAAAGAGCTTTAAAGTAACGCCTCAACAGGTTTGAATTCGGTCTTACTTGTTTTTCTTTACAATCCTTTCTTTTGCAGCTGGCTGTTCACATCAACATTGAGTGTCCCTTGCTTGAAGTTCCCTGCAAGTTTGTAGAAGCGGGGTGTGCGTATAAGGTATTAAGTTAACTATTCGTTGTTCTCTTGGGAAAACACAGGAATGTGCAATTAAATCGTGGATAACTTGTGAACCAAACGCTTGTGATTGTACCTGATCGACCCCGAGTAGCTGGATTTATTAATTGACTGACCGACTGACTGACTGACTGACTGAAGGACTGACAGACAGACAGACAGACAGACAGACGGGCGGACGGACTGTCCAACTGACCGTCTGATTGATTGGTGACTATGATTAAGCGACTGACTACTACTTTCAGGTCTAGTTATTTGCCGACCAATTGATTCATTGGCTGACTGAGTGACGGACTGATTGATGTCTGTCTACCTGTCAGTAGGGATGGGCTCTTTGAAAGGATAACTGGCTGACATGCAGAAGAACCGACATAATATCTGTGACTGACTAACCCATTCACTGACTGACGGACTGACAATAGACATTAGACAGTCAATCAGTTAATTGATTGATTGACTGTCTAATGTCTGTTTGTCAGTCCGTTTAATGATAACGGGAAGGAGGGCTTTGATTCAATAACCGGATAAGGGCCTTTACCTTGAAAATTTCTGTTTTAGGCACCAAGGTATAAAATGAAAGATCATTTATCTAATAGCACGGAGTCCCATCTTACGTCGCTATGTGAATTAGTGTACGCTCAAAAGAAGCAGCTTGAAAATCAAAAGGAAAGGATCCAGCTGCAAAAAGAACACATTCAACTTCAAAAAGAAACGCTGCTTCTGCAAAAACAGGAGCTTATAGACGTGCGAAGTCGAACAGCAAATGGAGAGTTCATCTGGAGAATCCCAGATTTTACCCGGAAGTTAATGGATGCTAAATCTGGGCGCGCACCGGAACCGATGATCAGCGAACCTTTCTACACCCACCCTCACGGGTATAAAATGTGTGCGGGGCTGTGGCTTAATGGCGTGGGTACAGGGAGGGGCAGATACATATCTGTTGGACTTCAGGTTAGTTTAGATAAACAATATTTTATAGAAATAAGTAATACGGAGAACAATGAAGTACCCTTCTTTTCCCTTCTGAACTGATCAGCTGTGGTTTCAGGAAAAGCTCTTCAACTAGAAAGTTCTCCGAGAGGGTAAAACTTCATTAGCGAATCCGCAGGATTGAGAAAAGGCCGTTTAAAAAAGAGTCTGAGGGTCTTAGAAAATATAGCCAATCTAGCTTCCGCGAAAGGGAACTTCACTGTTATCAAATATACGAACTCGAGTTCAAAAGAAATTTTAAGGAAATTGAGAATAGAAGTTCGGATTTGACGGCATCTAGAAAATATTTCCTGTGACAACAATGTGGTTTTTAAATCTATTTCATCAATTTTGGACTCTGTTTTATAGGTTCAAGTTGGTGAATACGACTCCATTCACAAATGGCCAATATATCCGAGATACACATTCACTCTGCTAGATCAACGAGACGAACACAAGGACAGAAAAGACATCTCGGCACACTTCGAGCCTCAGAGTATTTCACGACCATGTGCCGACAGACAGCTCGGTAAAGGAGCACGAAGATTCGTTCTCCAAGAGGACATATGTGCCAGTGCCTACTGCAAGGATAACACAGTTTTTCTGAAGTTCAACGTGACTCTAAAACAGCCCCCTTCTAGCTTCTTCAGAGTGTGAGAATTGTCGGTCGGAATCAATCTCTATTGCAAGACCAAGGGTGCGTTCAGGCTTTGGGGTGATCTGGATCAGGATCAGCGATTTAAGATCTGTCTGGATCATGGTGCATCAAGGGAACCGATGAATCCACTCTGGTCATGGATTCATCGGTTCCTTTGATGCGCCATGATCCAGACAAATCTTGGATCACTGATCCTAATCCGGATCACCCCAAAGGAACGTACCCTAAAGCTCTTGTGCCCGGGCGATCTTCGATAACAGCATCTGAGTAGGATCTGGGTACCAGAACGAGAACGAGAATGCTCTGCGATTTATTTAAAGAACTGAATTTTGAGTTGAATGTTCTAGTTATTTGACTGATTCAATATTATTGTTAGTAGTAGTAAAAAACAAAACAGCAGTTCATAATGTTATATTTAATGTCAAACAACAAGAGAAAATTGCATACAATTCTTATATCAACTGCATTCAAAAACGTCTGACTAATTAACTGCTTTCTACGGCTGGAAGTGTTCCTAAAACTTAAACTAATACTGCCAAAAAAATGGATCTCATTTCACGTAAAACATCTTATCCTGGCGGCGAAATACTGCCATGTGTTAAACGATGATATATAATGAATCGATCAGGCAAGAAATCTTGAAGCATTCCTGCTCCTTTAGAATGGAAGTCTCTCCCATGCACCCCGAATTCAATTTATTTTCATAGTATCAACCCACTTAAAAGCTTAACACACATGCAAAGCAGGGTAAAATCTCAAGATAAATACGACATTTATATAAAAGTGTGTTGGCCAATCCGCCAAATGATTACTGGCAGCTGATGCTGAAAGAGCGATAGCCCGAAACTGACGTGACAATACCGTAGTTATTTGATATTTAACTCTGAATTCTCCTTGCATACGGCTGGTGGGCCTGAACTTTGAATTGACCAATCAGGATTCAGCAGACGGGCAATACTGTACTGTCCTGATGTTAATGTATGTTAACAGGAAAGGCATTGACGTCGGGCAACTTTTTTCACTGAAGACCACATTGAATGAGTATTCACGAAAATGGATTTATAATTGCAAAAACCATATCAGATTGTGAAAGGTGAAAAATATGAAACATTTTGTGTCTCGAAGCTTTTTTAATTTGTCGCCAAAACCGGGTCGCCCGCGTCCGGCAACTCGCTCAACGTTTGGCACTCGTCCCTCGGCGCTCGGCGCGCGTTGAGTGTCGCCGGGTGGGATAAATAGTTGTGTTATTATTTGTTATTATTTTTTTGTTAGCTGCGAAGAAAAAGACTATTATCGAGTCGTTTGAGTAAGACAGCTCGGTTTTTCACTGCCGTTCGTACTGCGGGCGCAGCCACCGTATGCAAGGCTAAGTCTTCCTATAGTTCCATACCCTACTTACAACATGCTGTCGTTTCATTGTACAGTTCATTTAACAAGAATATAGGCGAACAGTATGCCTCCAAAGGCGACCAAAAATGCCAGCGACAAGATTATCGCTTTCTCCAAGTCAGGCATACTAGTGAGTAGGATTCCTGCCTTCAGATCCCTCTCAACCGTTTCCTTGAGGCACTCCAGGCGAGTGCTTAATTGACGGTACTGGCTGCGCTTGTTCCTGACTTCTTCCCAAACAACAAAGTGGTCGCTGAATTTCTTTCCGATCGCGACACAAGCTAGTGCACCACCCACACCAGCGCAGCTCAAGATGCCCCCTGTCAGCCTGGCTCCCGCCTGGAGGGCTCTGGCAGCACTAAAACCAAGACCTGTGTTTAAATAAGAGATGATTCAGGTTTCTGCTCAAATAGACAGCCCATGCGACTTTACACGCGTTTCATCTTCCATGAAAGCATCCTCGCAACACTCGTGGTGATAATATGCGCCAAAGAAGTGGAGACCGTGTCTAGAAATAACTTAAGAGGGATTAAGGCCTATTTAGGGGATTAACCCTCTTACCCTCTCGTGGTTAAAGATCATGTAAGAATTTAAGATTGAAGCATAAGTATTTGAAATGGAAAAATGTTTGCTAGTATATTTGATGTTTTTTGGAGAGAATACAGCACGGTTCAGAAACCTCCATTAGACTTCGTTAAACCTTCCGACAGAAAATCTTTAAACAATCTTCAGAATTAGTCGTGGCTATTTGGCAGTCACCGGGAACGAAACAGTCGTCAAGAGTTGATCCATCGCAATAAAAATGACCATCAACTCTTTAGGTCTGTGCTTTCATCGAAGTTGAACCTACCCAAACAGTTGTGAGAGTCGACGAAAGTGTTAGGCAGATGATGCCTATATTCTCGCATGCTCAGTTCTTTTTACTGCATGCGACAAAAGCTTCCGCGAAGCTCACCGAGATAGGGTTTGTCTCTCAACTCATGTATACTGTAGGTTTCGTTTGCCTCTAGCCGGTTTACAGCGAACTGGTCTGAGGTGTTCTTTCAATCCTCTTAAAATCATCCTATTATGAAATATTCTCACCTATTGAGAAGGCTGCAAAAAAAGCCAAATCCCGGCCAAGTTCGACCAACTGTTCTGAGGTTTTTCTTTGTAACAACTCTATGATCTCGTGCGCGCTGTTCAAACTTTGCTCGCAGTCTCTGATATCAGCTGAAGCCCTGAGACGGCAGGCCTCTAAGCGACGAAAGTTCATAGGGTTTCTCCATTGACAATCGCAAGCGTTTATCACCTGTGAAATATAGACAAAACTAAAATTAAATGAGATGGGTTTTCAACTGTTCCGTAATAACTCGCCAAAGTACTTAAACAAATGAGATGTATATTTACTACATGATCAAACGAAAATTTCGTTTCAATACATTCGCCCATTCTTGCCAAACATTAAACCATGTTTGTGAAGGTTTCTTAATGGTTTGGTTTTATCCGTTTTTTTTCTAAGTTATTCCAAACAATTTGGCCTGAGAAAGAAAAACCGACTGGCTGGGTTTTAATTTTTAAAAGTGGCGCTTCGCCAATGTTTCCATGGTAACTTCTGTATTGTGCTTTATAACCTATTTATGCGTTCGTTATTAACCAAGCAGAAGTTAGATATTTTTTGACTTCTTGTAATTCATTTTCCACACAAAACACAGAACTAAAAAATATATAAATATATAAATTAAAATTAATTATCAGGAGGAAAAGTAGGTGACTACAAACTCAGTCCATACAGGTTTCAGTAGCATGAAGCGACTAGGAGTATTTCTACTTCCCCCTGGATGGGATGCTAGTCCATCGTAGGGTTACCCCCAAGCATTAAATTCGCCGGTACCCATTTATAAACCTGAGAGGCACTGAGAGAGTTAAGTGTCTTGCCCAAGAACACAACACAATGTCCCCAGCCAGGGCTCGAACCTGGACCGCTCGCTCCGGGGTCGAGCGCACTGACGAGCGCGCCTCCCAGAGTAAAAAGTAGAAGTATAATTTCTGCATTTTTTCCTGAAACGAGCATAATTTACAAAAGCTAGCACAATCATGAGCACAACTTTAGAAATATACGAGCACTGCTAGTAGCATATTGCGCTACTTTTGCGAGCACAATCTATCAAAACCGAAACCCCGATTGTGGCCGCGATTTCTTGCTCGCCACGATCCCGGCTTTGCCTCTCACTGATAGCGGCTTCGCCACGAAAACAACAAGAAGAAGAAAACACTGGCATCCAGGGTAATCCGGGGCCAACATAACTAATAATACCGTGACTGAACTCTAGTACCACCTGTAACTGTAAAATTATAACTGCACATTAATTATTAGACAGGGTTCCGCTTACCTCCCCCAACAGTAAATTACATGTAGACTGGATGCCTGTCAATTTCTTTGACGCGGCTGCTAAAAGGCGTTCAAGCTCATCATAATCACGCACCATATATTCAGGCATCCGGCCGTCGAACATACTTCGGACTTCCCGAGTGACCCGTTTAATTGCGTCAAAAGCCGCGTTTGATGACATGTTTTGTACAACCAGCCATGCGGTGGATAAAATGCAACCAAGCATTAAGTTCAATTGCTTCTTCGTGTATTGTTCCATTTGCTCTAATGCGGAAGTGGCGTTTTGTACAAACCTGTTCACCATGTGGATAAAGGAGTCCCCATTTTCACTGCACAGTGGAGTTATCAAAGACGTTAATTGCCTCAAGGCCGTCAAAACCTTCTCCATAGTGCCAATGTAGTCCATGCCAGCAATATCACCGTAACACGCTGTAGGTTCCAAGCAAGCAAGGAAAGGTTTACGTGGCTTTGCCTTAGTTAATACATAACTTTAATAGATAAATGGCTCCAGTAAAACCCAGATGAAGGTATTAAATTTTGTCTGAGTCTAGGCGCACTCTGTCGCGTTTCGGTAGAACTACTAACCAGTTAGGCTGAAGGTCCTATTAAAGTGGCAAGGTTTACTCCGTGACCATTACCCAGAACATTCATTGACAACTCAAAAATGTGAGGGGGTGGGGGGGGGGGGGTGGGGGGGGGTGGGGGGGGGGGGGAGCCTTCGAGTACTAATTTGCACTTTTGAGTGGATTCGAACTGGCAGGCAGTTTCAACCCGTCGGTAGAAATGGCAGTGACTTGGCAGGCAAATTCAGCTTGGTGTTTTTCAAACGCTCCGTTTTCGCTCTCCACTTATAAGACAGGACTTTGTTTTAAAATGTCTCACTCTAGACCGCGTTTTCAATGTACGCGTTTTCGATAAAAACGAAATGGTTTAAAGATCGTTTCAGCGCGCATTTCCTCCTCCATTTTCTTCACAGTCTCTTCACTGATAACTGAGCGTATACCTTGAAATCCTACGTTAAAGCTTATAACTTCATAAGGGGTTTTGGGTGGGCTTATAAACGGGGGCGGCGTATATCCGGAGGGAACATATGAGCGGAATAAAAAAAAAAAATGTTTCGTAACGACGAGATCCCTCCCTGAAAACTAATTAAAGTTAACATACCATTAAATTTAGAGCTATTACCTTATTACCCTATAAATTTATTACCCTATTACCGTATTGCCCAATTGGCCTACAACTTTCGATTAAAAATTTTGATCTTTGTAAAGAAACGTAAAAGGAACGCACTTATACATTAGATGGGCTTATATCCCTGGGGGGGCTTACTTTCGGGGGGGCTTAACGTGGGATTTTACGATAGATGAGAGCGTATGCAGCAAAAACAATGGAATGCGTTCGATTCCATCAGCATCGTGTTCTGCTTATAGATTGAAATTCTCGATTGAAAGGCTCACCTTTACAAACTGTGTTACTGGGATCTGAATGAGCGGCTGGTCTTTCTCATTTTAGGTTTTCTCAGATAACGGCTGCCACAGGCAAATTCTTAGCTTACAAGTGCTGTGTTCAAACCTTGAGAAGGGTTGCGAGTGGACTGGACCACTTAGCGAGATAGAGGTGAGCCTCATCTGTGTGCTTATTTATCCACGCGTTGCAAATTATTTTGTAACTTAAGCTCGTGAACTAGTTAGAATGTTGTTAAATGGCGAATATTTCTAGTGGTCGATGCACTTAGCTACAACTAGCTAGTTCTCAGGCATGCTACTTAAACTGAAAGAAAGAAATATTGCAAATAAACATAATAGGCTTAAAAAGCCCTACTGGCGGAAGGCAGACCAGTTGGTCATGGTTGTCTACAAGCACGACTATCGGGTCTACCGGGAAACAACTCCAGATTAGTGGTCAGACGGGACTTGAACCCGCGACCACCGGTTTTCAATTCTAGTGCCCTGACCACTTGGCCACGTCGGTCCCGCTAGCCAACAAGCCTAAATGGAACTAGACCAAGAATGTAACTCAGACCCGCGCTTTAACAGGGACCGGCGAAGGCCTTTTACCTCCATGTTTTATTTGTTAATTAATTCATACAAGTAATTCCTAATAACTGAAAATAACTGTCATGAATTTGTTTCGTTTCGCTTCGTTTAGCGACACCAAGATATCTGTAGTTACGTTGAGGTATCATGTCCGAAACGCTGCGGAGCATCATTAGAAAGGAGACGAGTAACAGATCATTCACTTGAATGTGTCAACAGGCTGACACCCTGCACTCACTGCGGTCATCAAGTTGTCTTCAATCACATGAGTGTAAGTACTGTATTTTTCTCGAGCGTGGCCGTAAGATCACGGTCAATATTATACGAATACCAATTAGAGCACGTCAAAATCCAAAACAGCAAAATCAGATTCACGATTTGATCAGTATTGGCCGTTTACCTGCCCTTGCTGCCGCTGGTTACATCATTTTATATGACTTCCTGAGTTTGCCCTCGGGTCCACGTTTTCCTGCGCTGTTGATGCCAGTTGCATGCTTAACATACTTTTCCGAACTTTTTCCTGGTTACGTGTTTTGAGGTTTCACAGTGCTCTCCCCACCAGTTACGTTATTCCTTAGCTAGCTGCGCCCGGGGTACAGGATTCCCTGAGATGGTCGCTAGTTGCAGGCGTCGGTTTTTACGCGGTTGACTCCAGCTGTTTGAACTTGCTTGCCGTTGCTCCTGCACGCTTTGTGCGCATAGCTAGTGACTGGCCCTATAAGTTCTTTGGTGTTGTTTGAAGAGAATCGCTAACAAACTACAGTCGAACTTCCACTAACGGCCACCTCTCTACAACGATCACTTAATCAACTACCAACGAATGGTGTATACAAAACCCCATTTTTAATTGTAAAAGGTCACCATACTTAATCCGTACCGCGCGTCATTAGACTCTATTTTTGTTAAGTTTCTGTTTTATTGACACAGTTTGATTTATACATGCTGAAATATACATTTTTGAAAAAAAAAATGTTGCACCCCCGAGAAAAGCAGGGGTCATAGTACACCTCTACCTCGTCATAACGGCCACTTTCCTTTAGATCTCTCCTCCAGGTGGCCGTTGTGGAGGGGTGCGACTGTACCTCGCTTTGCCCGTTATCCCTTCAGCTGAGTACAATATTAATATCTCTGGTCCTATTTGTTATGTATTTTGCAGTTACACCTTCAAACTTGTGCTTCGTTTCCAGTATCCTGCCCTGCTAACTGCGGTGTAATCAATCTCACAAAGGAAAAGGTTTGTTAACGTCAGTTGGTGCATGGATTCTGAGTCAGGCCCAAATTTTTCCCTTGTCGGATGTGGCACATGTTGTTGTAACACTGAATTTTGCTGTCTAATGCTCCCTTAGAGCAATTTTGAAAAGAGTGCTGAAAAACCAAAACCAAAGTAACCATTCTGACCAATAACAAATTAGGCAGACAATCCATTGAGCCCATCAAAGCACAAAGCAAATTCATGTAGCCGACACAAAGCGCAGGAAAACGTGTGCGAACGAGTTACGACTAGTTTTGGTTTTACTTCAATTTTCATTGGATGGTAACAAAGTGGTGGGAGTTTTTTTTGAGACAATCGCCCAAACGTGGTAACGCAAAACCAAATCAAACAAAACCAATACAAATTCCTTTCGACTCTCAAGGAAAACCATTAAAATCGAATTTTTCCTTGTAATGTATTCTCCTTACAAGTACAGTACGAAATATATGATGAGCAGTAAAGAGAACATTTATATAGACAACTTAACTGGACCGAGTTTCTCTTAGGTTGGCGGAAATTAATGCAGCTTCTTTTGCTGTCGCTGTTGTAGTTTGTTGATGTATTGCTATTCTCAATGCTGTAAAAAGATCTTTCTGTATTGTATGTTATTATTGTTGTTCTCTTCTCGTGTATCTGCCACAATTGTTTTGTAGGTCTGTTCGTGTACTGTGTTGTTTCGTACGTTTCCGTGTGGTAGGACGTCCCAAGACAGACTATACAAACATGACAGCAAGAACAGAGAACCTTACAGACTTCAACAGATATGACATTATTAATGAAGTGTTATTTTGAACCGTATCTTATAAAAGCAATGTGAACTGATGAAAATAATGTGCAGAAAAAAAGAAGTCAGGAAGACGCTACTTGAAACGGGTTTGGTTTATAGTCAAAGAACAAAACAGTTTTAGCTGTTCCGTTTCTGCCAGTGTTAGACACACTATAAGGGAAAAATGAAAATATTCAGTTACGCAGATTTAAAGACTTATGCGGTACTGATGAAAAATGTTTCAGTCTGGTCGTGCGGTTTTTAGTTCAATTTAAAAAAGAGCTTTAAAGTAACGCCTCAACAGGTTTGAATTCGGTCTTACTTGTTTTTCTTTACAATCCTTTCTTTTGCAGCTGGCTGTTCACATCAACATTGAGTGTCCCTTGCTTGAAGTTCCCTGCAAGTTTGTAGAAGCGGGGTGTGCGTATAAGGTATTAAGTTAACTATTCGTTGTTCTCTTGGGAAAACACAGGAATGTGCAATTAAATCGTGGATAACTTGTGAACCAAACGCTTGTGATTGTACCTGATCGACCCCGAGTAGCTGGATTTATTAATTGACTGACCGACTGACTGACTGACTGACTGAAGGACTGACAGACAGACAGACAGACAGACAGACGGGCGGACGGACTGTCCAACTGACCGTCTGATTGATTGGTGACTATGATTAAGCGACTGACTACTACTTTCAGGTCTAGTTATTTGCCGACCAATTGATTCATTGGCTGACTGAGTGACGGACTGATTGATGTCTGTCTACCTGTCAGTAGGGATGGGCTCTTTGAAAGGATAACTGGCTGACATGCAGAAGAACCGACATAATATCTGTGACTGACTAACCCATTCACTGACTGACGGACTGACAATAGACATTAGACAGTCAATCAGTTAATTGATTGATTGACTGTCTAATGTCTGTTTGTCAGTCCGTTTAATGATAACGGGAAGGAGGGCTTTGATTCAATAACCGGATAAGGGCCTTTACCTTGAAAATTTCTGTTTTAGGCACCAAGGTATAAAATGAAAGATCATTTATCTAATAGCACGGAGTCCCATCTTACGTCGCTATGTGAATTAGTGTACGCTCAAAAGAAGCAGCTTGAAAATCAAAAGGAAAGGATCCAGCTGCAAAAAGAACACATTCAACTTCAAAAAGAAACGCTGCTTCTGCAAAAACAGGAGCTTATAGACGTGCGAAGTCGAACAGCAAATGGAGAGTTCATCTGGAGAATCCCAGATTTTACCCGGAAGTTAATGGATGCTAAATCTGGGCGCGCACCGGAACCGATGATCAGCGAACCTTTCTACACCCACCCTCACGGGTATAAAATGTGTGCGGGGCTGTGGCTTAATGGCGTGGGTACAGGGAGGGGCAGATACATATCTGTTGGACTTCAGGTTAGTTTAGATAAACAATATTTTATAGAAATAAGTAATACGGAGAACAATGAAGTACCCTTCTTTTCCCTTCTGAACTGATCAGCTGTGGTTTCAGGAAAAGCTCTTCAACTAGAAAGTTCTCCGAGAGGGTAAAACTTCATTAGCGAATCCGCAGGATTGAGAAAAGGCCGTTTAAAAAAGAGTCTGAGGGTCTTAGAAAATATAGCCAATCTAGCTTCCGCGAAAGGGAACTTCACTGTTATCAAATATACGAACTCGAGTTCAAAAGAAATTTTAAGGAAATTGAGAATAGAAGTTCGGATTTGACGGCATCTAGAAAATATTTCCTGTGACAACAATGTGGTTTTTAAATCTATTTCATCAATTTTGGACTCTGTTTTATAGGTTCAAGTTGGTGAATACGACTCCATTCACAAATGGCCAATATATCCGAGATACACATTCACTCTGCTAGATCAACGAGACGAACACAAGGACAGAAAAGACATCTCGGCACACTTCGAGCCTCAGAGTATTTCACGACCATGTGCCGACAGACAGCTCGGTAAAGGAGCACGAAGATTCGTTCTCCAAGAGGACATATGTGCCAGTGCCTACTGCAAGGATAACACAGTTTTTCTGAAGTTCAACGTGACTCTAAAACAGCCCCCTTCTAGCTTCTTCAGAGTGTGAGAATTGTCGGTCGGAATCAATCTCTATTGCAAGACCAAGGGTGCGTTCAGGCTTTGGGGTGATCTGGATCAGGATCAGCGATTTAAGATCTGTCTGGATCATGGTGCATCAAGGGAACCGATGAATCCACTCTGGTCATGGATTCATCGGTTCCTTTGATGCGCCATGATCCAGACAAATCTTGGATCACTGATCCTAATCCGGATCACCCCAAAGGAACGTACCCTAAAGCTCTTGTGCCCGGGCGATCTTCGATAACAGCATCTGAGTAGGATCTGGGTACCAGAACGAGAACGAGAATGCTCTGCGATTTATTTAAAGAACTGAATTTTGAGTTGAATGTTCTAGTTATTTGACTGATTCAATATTATTGTTAGTAGTAGTAAAAAACAAAACAGCAGTTCATAATGTTATATTTAATGTCAAACAACAAGAGAAAATTGCATACAATTCTTATATCAACTGCATTCAAAAACGTCTGACTAATTAACTGCTTTCTACGGCTGGAAGTGTTCCTAAAACTTAAACTAATACTGCCAAAAAAATGGATCTCATTTCACGTAAAACATCTTATCCTGGCGGCGAAATACTGCCATGTGTTAAACGATGATATATAATGAATCGATCAGGCAAGAAATCTTGAAGCATTCCTGCTCCTTTAGAATGGAAGTCTCTCCCATGCACCCCGAATTCAATTTATTTTCATAGTATCAACCCACTTAAAAGCTTAACACACATGCAAAGCAGGGTAAAATCTCAAGATAAATACGACATTTATATAAAAGTGTGTTGGCCAATCCGCCAAATGATTACTGGCAGCTGATGCTGAAAGAGCGATAGCCCGAAACTGACGTGACAATACCGTAGTTATTTGATATTTAACTCTGAATTCTCCTTGCATACGGCTGGTGGGCCTGAACTTTGAATTGACCAATCAGGATTCAGCAGACGGGCAATACTGTACTGTCCTGATGTTAATGTATGTTAACAGGAAAGGCATTGACGTCGGGCAACTTTTTTCACTGAAGACCACATTGAATGAGTATTCACGAAAATGGATTTATAATTGCAAAAACCATATCAGATTGTGAAAGGTGAAAAATATGAAACATTTTGTGTCTCGAAGCTTTTTTAATTTGTCGCCAAAACCGGGTCGCCCGCGTCCGGCAACTCGCTCAACGTTTGGCACTCGTCCCTCGGCGCTCGGCGCGCGTTGAGTGTCGCCGGGTGGGATAAATAGTTGTGTTATTATTTGTTATTATTTTTTTGTTAGCTGCGAAGAAAAAGACTATTATCGAGTCGTTTGAGTAAGACAGCTCGGTTTTTCACTGCCGTTCGTACTGCGGGCGCAGCCACCGTATGCAAGGCTAAGTCTTCCTATAGTTCCATACCCTACTTACAACATGCTGTCGTTTCATTGTACAGTTCATTTAACAAGAATATAGGCGAACAGTATGCCTCCAAAGGCGACCAAAAATGCCAGCGACAAGATTATCGCTTTCTCCAAGTCAGGCATACTAGTGAGTAGGATTCCTGCCTTCAGATCCCTCTCAACCGTTTCCTTGAGGCACTCCAGGCGAGTGCTTAATTGACGGTACTGGCTGCGCTTGTTCCTGACTTCTTCCCAAACAACAAAGTGGTCGCTGAATTTCTTTCCGATCGCGACACAAGCTAGTGCACCACCCACACCAGCGCAGCTCAAGATGCCCCCTGTCAGCCTGGCTCCCGCCTGGAGGGCTCTGGCAGCACTAAAACCAAGACCTGTGTTTAAATAAGAGATGATTCAGGTTTCTGCTCAAATAGACAGCCCATGCGACTTTACACGCGTTTCATCTTCCATGAAAGCATCCTCGCAACACTCGTGGTGATAATATGCGCCAAAGAAGTGGAGACCGTGTCTAGAAATAACTTAAGAGGGATTAAGGCCTATTTAGGGGATTAACCCTCTTACCCTCTCGTGGTTAAAGATCATGTAAGAATTTAAGATTGAAGCATAAGTATTTGAAATGGAAAAATGTTTGCTAGTATATTTGATGTTTTTTGGAGAGAATACAGCACGGTTCAGAAACCTCCATTAGACTTCGTTAAACCTTCCGACAGAAAATCTTTAAACAATCTTCAGAATTAGTCGTGGCTATTTGGCAGTCACCGGGAACGAAACAGTCGTCAAGAGTTGATCCATCGCAATAAAAATGACCATCAACTCTTTAGGTCTGTGCTTTCATCGAAGTTGAACCTACCCAAACAGTTGTGAGAGTCGACGAAAGTGTTAGGCAGATGATGCCTATATTCTCGCATGCTCAGTTCTTTTTACTGCATGCGACAAAAGCTTCCGCGAAGCTCACCGAGATAGGGTTTGTCTCTCAACTCATGTATACTGTAGGTTTCGTTTGCCTCTAGCCGGTTTACAGCGAACTGGTCTGAGGTGTTCTTTCAATCCTCTTAAAATCATCCTATTATGAAATATTCTCACCTATTGAGAAGGCTGCAAAAAAAGCCAAATCCCGGCCAAGTTCGACCAACTGTTCTGAGGTTTTTCTTTGTAACAACTCTATGATCTCGTGCGCGCTGTTCAAACTTTGCTCGCAGTCTCTGATATCAGCTGAAGCCCTGAGACGGCAGGCCTCTAAGCGACGAAAGTTCATAGGGTTTCTCCATTGACAATCGCAAGCGTTTATCACCTGTGAAATATAGACAAAACTAAAATTAAATGAGATGGATTTTCAACTGTTCCGTAATAACTCGCCAAAGTACTTAAACAAATGAGATGTATATTTACTACATGATCAAACGAAAATTTCGTTTCAATACATTCGCCCATTCTTGCCAAACATTAAACCATGTTTGTGAAGGTTTCTTAATGGTTTGGTTTTATCCGTTTTTTTTCTAAGTTATTCCAAACAATTTGGCCTGAGAAAGAAAAACCGACTGGCTGGGTTTTAATTTTTAAAAGTGGCGCTTCGCCAATGTTTCCATGGTAACTTCTGTATTGTGCTTTATAACCTATTTATGCGTTCGTTATTAACCAAGCAGAAGTTAGATATTTTTTGACTTCTTGTAATTCATTTTCCACACAAAACACAGAACTAAAAAATATATAAATATATAAATTAAAATTAATTATCAGGAGGAAAAGTAGGTGACTACAAACTCAGTCCATACAGGTTTCAGTAGCATGAAGCGACTAGGAGTATTTCTACTTCCCCCTGGATGGGATGCTAGTCCATCGTAGGGTTACCCCCAAGCATTAAATTCGCCGGTACCCATTTATAAACCTGAGAGGCACTGAGAGAGTTAAGTGTCTTGCCCAAGAACACAACACAATGTCCCCAGCCAGGGCTCGAACCTGGACCGCTCGCTCCGGGGTCGAGCGCACTGACGAGCGCGCCTCCCAGAGTAAAAAGTAGAAGTATAATTTCTGCATTTTTTCCTGAAACGAGCATAATTTACAAAAGCTAGCACAATCATGAGCACAACTTTAGAAATATACGAGCACTGCTAGTAGCATATTGCGCTACTTTTGCGAGCACAATCTATCAAAACCGAAACCCCGATTGTGGCCGCGATTTCTTGCTCGCCACGATCCCGGCTTTGCCTCTCACTGATAGCGGCTTCGCCACGAAAACAACAAGAAGAAGAAAACACTGGCATCCAGGGTAATCCGGGGCCAACATAACTAATAATACCGTGACTGAACTCTAGTACCACCTGTAACTGTAAAATTATAACTGCACATTAATTATTAGACAGGGTTCCGCTTACCTCCCCCAACAGTAAATTACATGTAGACTGGATGCCTGTCAATTTCTTTGACGCGGCTGCTAAAAGGCGTTCAAGCTCATCATAATCACGCACCATATATTCAGGCATCCGGCCGTCGAACATACTTCGGACTTCCCGAGTGACCCGTTTAATTGCGTCAAAAGCCGCGTTTGATGACATGTTTTGTACAACCAGCCATGCGGTGGATAAAATGCAACCAAGCATTAAGTTCAATTGCTTCTTCGTGTATTGTTCCATTTGCTCTAATGCGGAAGTGGCGTTTTGTACAAACCTGTTCACCATGTGGATAAAGGAGTCCCCATTTTCACTGCACAGTGGAGTTATCAAAGACGTTAATTGCCTCAAGGCCGTCAAAACCTTCTCCATAGTGCCAATGTAGTCCATGCCAGCAATATCACCGTAACACGCTGTAGGTTCCAAGCAAGCAAGGAAAGGTTTACGTGGCTTTGCCTTAGTTAATACATAACTTTAATAGATAAATGGCTCCAGTAAAACCCAGATGAAGGTATTAAATTTTGTCTGAGTCTAGGCGCACTCTGTCGCGTTTCGGTAGAACTACTAACCAGTTAGGCTGAAGGTCCTATTAAAGTGGCAAGGTTTACTCCGTGACCATTACCCAGAACATTCATTGACAACTCAAAAATGTGAGGGGGTGGGGGGGGGGGGGTGGGGGGGGGTGGGGGGGGGGGGGAGCCTTCGAGTACTAATTTGCACTTTTGAGTGGATTCGAACTGGCAGGCAGTTTCAACCCGTCGGTAGAAATGGCAGTGACTTGGCAGGCAAATTCAGCTTGGTGTTTTTCAAACGCTCCGTTTTCGCTCTCCACTTATAAGACAGGACTTTGTTTTAAAATGTCTCACTCTAGACCGCGTTTTCAATGTACGCGTTTTCGATAAAAACGAAATGGTTTAAAGATCGTTTCAGCGCGCACGGTAGGCGCGTCGAAATTAATTTATTTTGTTTTGAAACGACAACGCTTCCGGATGGGCCAAAGGTTCAACAGTCAGTAAGGATTAATTTTCGTACTTGTAATGTGCAATTCACAAAAAAACTTGAGCAGAGAAAATAATTTCGGCGAGAATCTTTTGATCTTACCTTTCTCGGGGAATTTCCCTTTGAATTAAATATGCCCTAGAGAAGACGCCCAATTTGCATATTCCCACAAACTGAAATTTTGAATATTACGTTCAGGAGATTTATTACACTTCTGGTGCTGAAACAACTACCGTTTCCTTTAAAGGATAAAATAATTTTCTGCAATAAAATGATTCAACAATATTCAAAATGGAAGTAACAAGTTTGTTCATTTTTCGATTCTTTGTTTTCTACAGCGGCGCGTCTTCTTCGACAGTGCCGATGTGCTTCCTTTATAACAAGCGAATTTCCACGGAAAATGAAACATCCTAATGGTAATCTTATGATTTTCTTGATCTATCTCTCGTCCTATTTTATTGTGTACCAAGATCATTCTTTCTGGATGCCTATATAAGTTTAATTCAGTGTTAGGTTGACGGCGACCTCTTCGCTTTCTTTAACAAACAAGATTTTTTTCGCAGTGGCTATTCGTACAGCACCCGACTACGGCGACTTGTATTTGCTATTCGTACGAGAGTCAGAAGATTTCATTGAATTTCTCTGTAATTGCTGATTCTTCCTTATCCAAATTATCATATTTACCTTAAGAAGAATTAAGCGATCCCAGTGAGTGCCGTTTCTTTGAGCCAGATTAATTTGCGTACTCTCTGCATACTCAGCGAACGACCCAGTTAATACTCACGCACATGTCACGCTACCTCTGGTTCACAGATTTACTGGCTACAAAGTACACTGTAGGTTGAAAAAGTGCGAAAAGAATTTCTAATAGCCTTTTCAAAACGTAGAATACATTGACTTGGATCGGGTGGTAAGTGACAACTTGGAACTTCTATGAATTTGGAGCTCTTGTTGGTAGTCCCGTACGAATTATTCGCATTTTTGCTATTCATACTGGAATTTTTCCCACAAAGCGAACGACCCACTCGCGACACTTCAATTTTTTTCCGAGCTAGTTAATACTCACGCACATGTCATGCGATAAGAAGGGACCGTACAGCGACTGGTGTCTGCTATTCATACGGGATTCCTCGAGTATAACTAACAGTTACCATTAAATTTAAGAATCGCTAACCTCAGTGTTTTTGAATGTCATAGTTGAACACTTCCCTCAGACAATACTTGTCCAGCCGTATTTTCGTGGACCAGTTTGCGTTGCAAGATTTAGTGTGCATGTATCCCTCACCTGATTTGGAAGGAGAGAACGATCGAAGCATCCATCCTTCGGTAAACTAACCGCGAGTAACCGGACTAAATACGAAAAGAACTACCTAACGCTGACTGAAACTGCGTCTTCTACGGAATGCAGAGAGTACGCAAATTAATCTGGCTCAAAGAAACGGCACTCATTGGAACCGCTTATTTTTCCTAAAGGTAAATATAATAATTTGGATAAGGAGAATCAGCAATTACAGAGAATTCAATAAAATCTTCTGACTCCCGTACGGATAGCAAATACATGTCGCCGTACGGGTGCCGTACGAATAGCCACTGCGTACAGTACTGTATTTTTTTCAGTTCGCTTTCAATAACAAACAATATTTTACTCGGCACTCACCTGTATAGAGTGGAAATAAAAGAGGGTTCTTTGCTTTGTAGGAAACGAATTCCAACGTTTTCTTTATAGGAATCCCTCTAAGAAGATGTTCTTCGCTTTCGCTTTACTGTATAAGCAGTGGATCTTGCCTGAAATCTACCTAAAAGATGCGCGGAAACCATCCGAAAAACCGTCGTGAAGTTCACCGAAAGTCGAACGCGTGAAGACTGAGACGAGGTTGTTTCGTAGACTATTAGTATTGTTTATGTAGGGGACATCCTTCTCTCATTTAAACTCCTATTAAAGTTTCGAAATGTATTAAAACATACCGAGAACCGAAGCTCCTTTGCTTGTAATCAAATAATCAAAGAAGACATCCCCACAGCGTTGGAAGTTTTCCATTGCTTTGAAACGAAACGAAACAAAACGAAACATGAACAGATCCTCCACGAAAACATCCACGCAACGCGCGAGTAACATCCCCGGAAGAACTGGGTACAAGGTCTACAAATAACTTAAGAGGGATTACCTTAGTTACAGGACCTATATGGGGGATTCACTCTCTTACCTTGAGAATCTCTTGGTGGGGGATTAATGAGATGTATTGCTGTGTAGGTATATGTGGGGGATTAATGTGATGTATGCTGTGTGGGTATGTTGGGGATTAATGAGATGTAGGCTGTGTTAGTATATGTGGAAGATTATTAAGATGTAGGCTGTGTAGGTATATTTGGGGCACTAATGAGATGTAAGCTGTGTAGGTATACGTGGGGGATTAATGAGATGTAGGTTGTGTAAGTACGATGTGAGGGATTAATTAGTTGTAGGCTATGTAGGTATATTTGGGAGATTGATGAGATGTAAGCTGTGTAGTTATATGTGGGGGAATAATGAGATGTAAGCTGTGTAGGTATATGAGGGGGATTAATGAAATGTTGGCTGTGTAGGTATATGTAAGGGATATTAATGAAATGTAGGCTGTGTAGGTATATTTAGGGGATTAATGAAATGCAGGCTGTGAGGGGATATTGGAGGATATGTAGGGGGGTGGTTGAGGAAGAAGACTTGATTATATATCCTGGAGGCATTGTTTTAAGAGAGATTAAGAGAGATGTGTATATTGCGGTGGAGTTAACTGGCCGCCCAACCATCCGGGTGGTGTCGCAGTTATAAAGCGAAAGAACAAAAGGCTTGGCTGTGAGTCAATGAGAAATCACTGACGTCATAGCCAAACTGGACAAACGAGTTTCTGACACCGGCTGGATTTGATTATTCAAAATGGCTGACATACCTTAATTTAAGGCTATAATATGCTAATTTGCCAAACATTCTTTATATGCACGCTTATGTTCTGTAACGGCCGCTATGTAATTTATGCTATACATACAGTTATATAATATACGCGTTCTTGAGTTACAGTAGCCGGATTAAGCCTTGATTGATGAGGTTCGTTTAAGGTTCTCTCTGCCATCTAATATTACTCGCTGCAGCGAAAGGGTAGGTCAAATTCGTCGACAACGTCTACCGTCTACGAATGCCTACGAGCGAAAACAACTTCCGGTGCCACGTCGCCTAAAGCATCACAATTTTCAATGTTATTCCACCAGATATCATTGTCTCCGCAACATTTACATTTGAGGTCAAGTAAGTAGCGAGATCTCCGAGAACTGGAAGCTATGGAAAGTGAAATACTCTAATAATTACTTTGTTTGGAGCGGGAAAGCCCCGAGTATCAGATCGTCACGTTCAAGGACGTTATTGATGACGATGGCCTTTAAGTGTTCAGTACTGAAGAAGAAAATGCAAACGATTGCCGTGTAGTAGGGAAGATGAAAAGGTATTGCATCGGCGAGGTAACGTAAACGAGATTGTTTCAGCAGGAGGGAAAAACTTCCTACCGAAACGTTCGACAACTGAATCGCTGAATTAAGAAGAACCTTGGCAAAGAGCTGCAATTTATGTGATTTTTTACAGTTTTTACACGATACTCTCATCTGCGTTCGACTGATCTTGGGATAAAACATGAGCAAAGCACAAAGCAGCCGCTTAGGATGACAGACCCCACGTTAAACAAGTGTATCGACCTTCGAGCATCCGAGATGCAAATATAGGAATCTTTAACAATGACGACGGCGACGCCGAGGACAACGCCTTGTAAAATTGAATTTGTCCAGGATGCCTATGGCTCTAAAACCTCGTTCAGGCTAAATATGTAATGACAGCGTTCAATTCTAAATGGAAACACGAAAGATTAGCAGCTCGGCTCATCGTTCGCGTTCGCGGTCATTTTGCGTTGTTGTTTTGCAGAGGACGGCTATGAAATGTACAAAGGTTTACTGAACACACTTGTATAGCCTTTGTTTTGTTCATTAAACCTTTTGTAAGGTGGTGTTCGTCGTTGTTTGCTCCAGACTCCAGTCCACACTACGCCGGAGGAATTTAAAAACGCACACAGCTTTATTTCTACGGTTAGGCCTACGGTCCAGAGTAAACCGTCGCGAAAACGGAACTTTTCGAAAACGCTCTTCAAACAGAAGGAGTTTGAAAACGCCGACTTTGGGTTTTCGTGTGGACGGAAAACATTTTAAAACTGATCTTTTCGAACACGATAGGATCAGGAGAACCACGTGAATTCCCTGGCGGAGATTTCCTCAAACAAAAATATAAAACAACCGCTGATTGTTGCGTTTTTAAATTCCTCCGGTGTAGTGTGGAGAACCGGGCCTAAGCTTCCTAGGCTCCTAATGAAGTCAATAATCAGACGGCGTTCTTCAATGAGTCCAAAGAGAAAACAATGAAAGGAGGTCCCGCGCAAAGTAGAAATGCACCATAAATAAACACCGTAAACAAAATAAACATTTAGGAGTGGAACTCTTTAAGGACCTCGATCAACATTAATATTCGTTATATGTTGCTAGCATTATCACGAAGGCTGCCCGGTGGCTAAATAAATTTTTACTTTACTTACTTTTACTGTCGGATTTATCAGGAGGAACCTGGAAGAGCAAGAGAGCAAGAGACCATCTGTGTGGGATTCACATACCCTAAAGGAAATTCATGACATCCAGATCTAAGGTGTACAACGACAAGCCGCTCGTTTTGTTAAACATTTTACTATCGAATACCGTGAGGGTGTGTGACCGGTCTCTTGAATAAGCTAATAATGATAACGCATCCCATTAAATCGGTTCTGCAACCATTTCTCGTTAAATCAATTGTTATCAGTTCATATGGAACCAAGCCGGCTATTCACCTGATGCATACTACTTCCGCAGCGGTCGCTACATGTAACATGTAATATTCGTTAGATTTAGAACAATTAAGATTACAGAAAATGGATATTGGAGGATGTGCTCAAGTGACGGTTACAATTTAGGTCTTCCCTTGTCTACTCTCAGAGAGTTCACACGCACAATTTACTCGGACCGCCACGACCATGCCAGTAAACGAACTTCGTATAATTTCTGCTAGCATGTACAATATAATCTCCATAAGTTGTAAAAAGACGTGGAAAATTCTTTGCAAACAAGCTCTCCATAAATGCGTAGACAGCTGTGCTTGATTCTTGAACCAAAATGGTTTAAACTCACAACTTGCGATTGGATTAGGAAGACACTCAACGAAGCAACTTGAATAGTAAATATCTAAGCGGAACTCTTGTGCTTAAATATCCTTATTCTTCAATTTGTCTTTATTGTGTCCAATACGCGTTTTCGTAAAGTACGATTTGATACTGCGTACAAAGCCCGAGTAAACATTCTTAGAGCGTCTCGTTTAGTTGTTAACTGAACTTTATTTAAGGTCTTCAAATGTTGCGTTAATTAGAGAAAGTGAATCCCATTTGATTAATACTACAAGTAGGTAACAATAATAAAAACAAACAAACAAAACAACTGATAAGGGGAAAGTTGAAAGAAAAAACTGTCAAAGGGAGGCAGCGTGGCCGAGTGGTCAGCGTGTCGGACTCGCAATCCAGCGGTCCCGGGTTCGAGTCCCGCTCTGACCACTACCTGGATTTGTTTCTCGGTAGCCCCCCGTGTTCAAATGCTCGGCCACGCTTGTAAATAGCTTGCCATTAGGAACGAAGTCACCCACACCGCCGGAGGGAGCTTATCACGTAAGGTTTTTGTAACGATTGGAGTGGAGTGCTAGCTCATAGCTGATTACTCCCCCCACTAAAAAAAAAAAATGTCAGATGGCCTTAGCAGTTCGCATAAATGGTCTCTTTAGTTGAGTTATAATTATTTGGGTTGCCATGCAACGCTGGGTAGGAGAGTGGCATGACGCCCCAACCCCGCAGGGGTTTCAATAACATTAGTTATAAGAGGCCACTGAAAGTGTAATAGGCGGCTGCGACCACCAAAGGGGCCGTAAGGCCCCTTTTCCCTAGGGGGGTCTGGAGGCATGCAAACAACATGTACGCTATTTCTTTGGAACGTTTAGTCTGTCCGCTTTTTTGTAGCATTTAAAAATTTCAGTGGTCGTCGTTGTTGTTGTAATTGCTTTTTTTTTTTATTAATATCATTTTTATTTCAGTAATGAAATCCAAACAGACGGCGGTAAGAGGTCCTACAGGCAGCGGTAGACCGCCGGTAACCGGCTTTTATTGAAACCCCCGCCCAACCGGCGTTTCTTGAATAATAGTAGGGAGTTTTAGCAATGACGACGGCGACGCCGAGAACGACACGTTGTAAAAAAAGTATTTATAGTTTATCCTCGAATGTCGCAACTGTGTAGATCTGTTCAGGACGCCTATCGCTCTAAAAACTTGCTCAGGCCAAATACGTAATGACAGCGTTCAATTTAAAAGGAAGACACGAAATATTCGCCATTGCGGTACACGTTCTCTAAAATACGTACGACTGTTATTTCACG